CCCCCAGAACAGTGCACAGATCAGCTTGTCCCGCCTTCAAATTCCACTAAATCCACAGGCTGGGAGAGCAAACAGGGCATACAGGGGCCAACCTCAGAGTAAGAGAGGTCACGGAGGTCCTACAAGGAAGGGGCAGGTAGGGAAGGAAAAAGCCAGCCATGTTAGTGGCCCGGCCCCCTTTAACCTCATGATAACCCACACCATTGTATCATAAATGACAAGAGAGGCTCAATGAGCCTGATTCTAATGCCAGAGTTTCATCCAGGTCAGCCTGAACCCCAAGCGCAAGCCGAGTGTGCAGTAATGTAGCAGGGGTGTGGGGGCAAGGCTGGGGTCTCCACTTCTAGGACAGAGAAGTTGCCCTCCCTTGGGGGCACTGTGTAGCCCCCCACACTGACCCCAGGGCTCGGGAATGACCATGAGGACCGGAGGGCATCTGGGACTCCAGACCAGCTCTGGTGACCATGGTGTAGGGGCCGAGGGCACCCCGAGCAACCCTGGAAGCCACACACCAGGATTCATAAGGGATAAACCAAGGGGTCACTGTTGCCTTCAAAAAGGAACCCAAAAGAGCAACCCCGGGGGGCGGGTCAGTGGTGACAGCTCAGCACGCATGGCCTTCGAGGGACCTGTCAGCTCCACTGGATACCCATGGTGGACTTTGCCCAGCCAAGGTGCCAGGCCCAGGGCACAAAGGTGAGGAAGGTGTTCCTCGCTGGAGGCAGAGCCTGGACTGGGCCTCCCACAATGTCCCACCTGACCAAGGGGTGCAGGAAAGAGAAAGGGCCCAGACGGGGCGCAGGCTAGGCACCTATGAGCCCGCATCCTGCCCTGCCACCCCTGCGAGGACTCTGGGAGTCACTGAGAAGTTGCCAGCCTCCAGTGTTTAACTCTCGCTCTCCTCTTTCATGGGAAAAGTGTGCATCAGACTAATTAATGTGTTGTTGTTTGTTTACCCTCCCTTCATTTCACTGAGACAAAATAATTAACCACAGAGCTTTAGAAACCAGCCCCATTGGTGGCAATCCCTTTTGTGTCAACTGCATCAGCAGCTCCTGTACGCAGACGTAGGGACTGCAGGCAGAAGCCGGGCAGGTGAGCAGTACCTGGAGGCTCCTGGCCACGGCACTGCTGAAAGGGGCCAGGGAGGGGCTCTGGGCAGTGGAATCCAGGGCAGCAGAGAAGGGCTAGGATGGTAGGCAGGAAGGGCTGGTACACTTGGATCTGCCACATCTTGGAGGACCACTGTGGTAGCTACCGCTCCCTGTTAGCCCCCTGAATGGGGACCAAAATCATTTCTATGACCAGAGCAGGGGAGGCAGAAAAATCGGGCCTGGCCACTCACCACCGCTGCAGGTAGGGCTGGGGAGAGAACGTGACCAGAAGGGTTTCTGGGGCCACAGCAGAAGTGAGGAGGACAGAGTGCAGCTGAGTAGGGAGACCCCCCTCCAGTGCTGTCCCAAGTAACAGCAGATTTCAACCCTAATCGACCAGGGTTGGGGACAAGCCATGCAGGAGAACAGACAATTAGAGACTTTCTCTCAGGAAGACTTTCACGAAGCAAAGCACGTTCACTGTGATGCACAGGGAGCTCCGGCATCCCGAGGAGCACGGGCCAGCTGTGCTTGGAGGGCAGCCTAGTGTGGACAGAGCAGACCCTCCCCTCCCACATTCTTTCTTCAGAACTGTCCTCATAACCACGGCTCAGCCAAGCCTGAGCCCTGACACAATGTGACAGTGCCCCTCAGGGCCGATAAGCCCACCCGCACCACCTTCGCAGACTCACCCTTGAGGCAGCAGGGCCTCTATTCTCATCAGTCATTTCTTCACTTGTTCTTTCCCTCCACAAACTCATGGGGCCCACGGTCTGGGACTAATGGAGTCCCAGCCCAGTTGTGGGCCCCAGATACGAAACAGCTTCGGCTTCTGGCAGGATGACAGTACAGTGTGGAGAGGGCTTGCGGGGGTCACAAGCATTCTTAGTGGATGGCAACTCGGCTGGGCCCTGGCAGGTAAGGAAGAGACGAGGTGGGAAAGGGCTTTCAGGCAGAGTGCCCCACAGGTGCAAAGGCCTGGAGGTCGGACAGCAGCACGTGCCTGAGGTGCTGGGGGCCCTTCCTGCCAGAGGGGCCCAGTGGGGGCTGGGTAAGGAACACAAAGGGCCCCTAGACAGAGACTGGGAGACTGGCCTTTGTCCCCCAAGACAATGGGACAGCCAAAGGGGACATATAATCAGACTGTTTAGGAAGCTCCTTCTGACCACTGTGCAGACTGCGGGTTTGTGGCCCATGAGTGAGGACAGGAGGACAGTGCTAGGGTGGGTGGGTCAGGCGCTCAAGTGAAGATGGTGTTAGCTGGGCTGGGCTGGTGACCTCAGGCCACAAAGAAGGAGGAGGAGCTGAGGGAGACTTGGGAGGGGCCTGCTCCATGATATTGGGGTAATGTCCAAGTGTCTCCAGGAATCTGGCCTGGACCCCTACCCCGGGCGTCTCGCTCACCCCACACACAGGGACTGGACCTGCAGGCTCCTCCTCTGGGCCCAGTTGGTCCGGGCAGCCGTGTCCTTTCCTGTTATTCTTACTCCAGCCAGTCTGAAGCCAGCAGGCTCCATGCCAAGACATGTGCCCAAGTGTGTACACACTGTGTGCCACGGCAGCCAAATCCATTAGCCCGTGTGGGAGAGCAAGTGGGCTGTCGCCCCCACTCCAGATTAAGCTCAAATGAAATTGTTGGGATTTTCAAAAAAGAACAAATGAGTACATCAGATGGTAGGCATGGGAGGACTCTGGACAGCCACCAGCCTTTCTAAGCACTCAGCCACGAGCACTGAGCCACCAAGGTGACATAGCTCTGCTGTAGGATTAAACAAGCTCGTGCGCACAGAGGTCAGCAGGCTTGCAATAAGTCATCCTATTTTAGCCACTGTCATAAAATAATCTTGGGGCTCCAGGCCAATAGTCTGGCCTGATTTCACAGGGCTCCTGAAGCAGCTGACCCCAAGGTCAAGGTTCAGACACCCCCTACCCAGGACTTGGGCTGGGTATGGCAGAGATAGTGATGGTCACTGACTGGGTCTAGGACTCCAGGGAAGGATGTTGGGGGAAGGGACACTATGGTGGCCCTCTGGCCTCACCAGGTCCTTGACAGTGAGCCTCATTGTTCACACCTGAGTGAGGGGCCCTGCCCCAAGCAGATTAGAACCCTAGGCAGAGCCACCACCACTGCTCTCGGACAGAGGTCATGTACTTACCAGATTTAATGGTGGCCAGAGCAGAGCTATCTGCAAAGGGGCCGTTTCCCTGGGCTCTTGGTCTGAGGGCTGTGGTCTGAGCGGACTCATCTGCTCCTCGGAACTATAACCTTCCGGTGTTTGCCTCAAGGTGATTTCCCCTGAAGAAAGTAAAACCTTTATGAAACACATTCTCCAGAACCAGACACAGCCACCGGCTTAGGTTCATCTTTAGACATTAAGCTCTGGTTTGGGGATGAGTCCTCCTCCCACACCACATCAGCCCTGGACAGGATGGCCACGGAGTGTGCTTAGGTGACTGACGTGTGTCACAGAAACTCCCCCTTCTTACACCGTTGGCCTGAAGGCAGCACAGACCAACCTCCACTGACTCCCCCATTTCCTGAGCTGCTGCTGGTGCAGCCTCTTCTTTCAAGAAGCCCCAAACCAGCTGGGGAGGTAGCCTCATCCCATAAGCTTTTATGATCTAGAACTGCAGAGACCAGGCCACACACAAGAGGGACAGGAACTCCCAGTGGAGACACCTAAGCCACCTGGCAAGGGAGTGGGTAGTGCAAAACGGCCTCTCTGGAAAAGTGATTTCTAAGCTAAATCCTAGAAGAAAAGGGTTGAGCTAGGTGAGGGGCAGAGAGTGGAAAACAGCAGGGCATGGACAGGAAACCACAGCCCAGCGAGTGGGAGATGGGGCTGCAGGCACAGGCAGGGCTGGCAGGGTTGAGGTGTCTGTGACACAGATGAGACAGAGAGTCCCTTCAGCCACTGTGTGGAGGATGGCCTGACAGGAGGTGAAGTGGGTAAAGCAAGATGCCATCCTGGACCAGCCTGAAGCTCCAGGGGGGCTTTGGTGGGTAGGAAGGACTGATGGGACATGGGGACCGAGGGAGGGGAGAGTCCAGATGACACCCAGGTCCCTGCTGAGGTGACCAGGGAGGCAGGAAGAAGGGAGGGTGTGGGACCAAGACAGATGGCAACATGGACACAGACACGCACACCCCACCCCATGGTACCAGGGCAGAAGCTGGCCTGGGTCTGCGAGACTGAGCAGGAAATGACTCCCTTAGCTGATCTGGTCATGAAAACTCCGGATCATGCTCCCAAAAGCTTCGCCGTAGCATGATCACTGTGGGTCCTGGGGGCTGGGCAAGCACTCTAGACTCTTGTCTTTATAGAGTCTACAATAAATGCACCTAGAGGCCTCTCCTGGGTGGGGCCTTGGGGCCTATTCTGAGTCAGGGACCAGGGCGGACTCACTCCAGCAACTGCAGGCCTTGGCAGGGCCCTGGCACTGCATCTTCAGGGCTTAGGTGAGAAGCTTGGGCCAGACCTTCCAAGCCCCAGAGAGCTTCTCCCAAAGTCTCAGGGACCATCAAATTCCCCTGTAATTGGGTAACTGATCATTCTGGAAGTTGAGGCCCAGGCTGTGCCTAGATCAATAGGTGATTTTTGCCAGGGATCAGCGGAGGTGGAACTGCAGAGGTGGTCTGATGCTACAGGCTGGGGTACAGTGAGAGCCTGGTTGTGGGGGGCCTTCATCTCAAGGGTCCTGACACCCACACTGCCTTCCACCCCAGGTCTCTCTGGCCCCTTTCTTATGTGGTTTGTTCCCTCTCCATTCTGGCCTAGTGGGCACTCAGTGATAGGGAGGCGGCTGTGTCTGCGGCTCCTCTCAGGCTCACCCCGGGCTCCTGATGGGCTTCCAGCTGCTCCAGGCCAGTGTCAGACCCAGGCATTTTCAAGGATCCCCAGCCTGCCTCCTCAGCACCCACAAATCTGTGCTCTTCTGAAATCCTGGGCCAGATTTCAAGCAATTAGGTTACAAGATCAAGATGGTCAGCTACAAGCAGTCACGGCACCAAGCTGCTTACTCTAAGAGAACCAAACACACACAGGCTAACAGAGTGTGCTAGGAAGCAGGGACAGAGTGAACAGGGACAACAGCCCCAGCATCCAATCTGCTCCTCTAAAGATGAATAAAAGCCCCCTTACCTTCTCTCTTGCAGGTTCTTCTGCAGGCCTCGGTGGCCCAGCATGGCCCACTGCGGTGAACCATGACTGGCTGGCCAACACTCACCACTGACCATCCAGAGTCGCATCTCACCAGGAGGTGACCCCTCCGCCAGCTGCCCCCCACTCAACCGCCCCACCCAGGAAAGTGCCCGGGCTGCCACGGACACCATGTAGTAGGGCCGGCTGCGGCGCCCCGTGAGCTGCGATGGTTTTGTACACAACCCCCTTTCCCAGTAGCTGTCTGTCCGCCCTGCACACTGTGTCCTGGGCCCTCATCTTCCCATGCTACTGGCTGCTGGACCGGCTCTTGGCCTTGTTCATCCCTGACCCCTGCCAGAAATACCAGCTGCTCTGCATCGTGCTCTTCACGCCCATCTACCTGGGCTTCCTGGTCACCTCACTGCCCTTCGCGTTTCTCGGGTTCCTCCTCTGGTTCCCCCTGCAGTCTGCCCGCAGGCCGTACGTCTACTCCCGGCTGGAGGACAAGGGCCCAGCTGGCGGGGCAGCCCTGCTGAGTGAATGGAAGGGTACAGGTCCTGGCAAAAGCTTCTGCTTTGCCACTGCCAACGTCTGCCTCCTCCCCGACTCACTGGCCAGGCTCAACAATGTTTTTAACACCCAAGCACGGGCCAAAGAGATTGGGCAGAGAATCCGCAATGGGGCCAGTCGGCCCCAGATCAAAATCTACATCGATTCGCCCACCAATACCTCCATCAGCGCAGCCAGCTTCAGCAGCCTGGTGTCACCACAGGGCAGCGATGGCATGGCCCGGGCCATCCCTGGCAGCATTAAGAGGACGGCCTCTGTGGAATACAAGGGCAATGGTGGGCGTCACCCCAGTGATGAGGCAGCCAATGGCCCAGCCTCCAGTGACCCAGCTGACTGCAGTAGCCTTGAGCATGCCTGCATCGTGCGCATCAGTGGCGATGAGGGGGGCCGGCTCCCTGAAGCTGACGACCCTGCCACTGGGGGCCAGGCCAGGAATGGGGCTGGCGGGGGCCCACGGGGCCAGACACCCAACCACAGTCAGCGGGATGGGGACTCAGGGAGCCTGGGCAGCCCCTCTGCCTCCAGGGAGTCCCTGGTGAAGGCGAAAGCTGGGTTGGATGGCAGCAGTGGGGACCCAGGCGCCACCTACAGCAAGGCCCCGCACAAGGCCTCGGTGGTGAAGAAGGCAGCGGCACGCAAGAGGCGGCACCCAGATGAGGCCTTTGACCATGAGATCTCAGCTTTCTTCCCTGCCAACCTGGACTTCCTGTGTCTGCAGGAGGTGTTCGACAAGCGGGCGGCCACCAAGTTGAAAGACCAGCTGCACGGCTACTTCGAGTACATCCTGTACGATGTCGGGGTCTACGGCTGCCAAGGCTGCTACGGCTGCCAAAGCTGTTGCTGCTGCTGCCAAGGCCGCTGCAGCTTCAAGTGTCTCAACAGCGGCCTCTTCTTTGCCAGCCGCTACCCCATCATGGATGTGGCCTATCACTGTTACACCAACGGGAAGGGCACCGACAGCCTGGCTTCTAAGGGAGCGCTGTTTCTCAAGGTAGGAAGCCTGGGCCCCACCTGAGGGCCCACACTGGCCTGTCCCGGAGCCACAGGGGAGGTGAGATGCAACCTGGGGGTCCTCCCTCTCTGGGTGGGATGGGGGCAGACGAAACCTTTCACGGAGCCAAACCAGAAGGCCCCTAGCTCACGGACAAGGGAAACAGAAATGCAGGGACAAGAGCCAAGGTTCTAGGATCAGACAGACCTTGCTGGGTGATCATAGGCAAGTTTCCCAGATCTCTGAGCCACCATTTCACCATCTGTAAAGTGAGGGCAACACGGAGACTACTCACAGGGTAGAAATGAGCCTGAGCAGCGAGGCCTGGGACGTCTCCTGCAGCTGATGGTGAAGGCGGCTGGGTGACGATGGCACGGTGGTGATGAGCGGGAGGAGGATGCCGAGGCTGGCTGTCTGTAACACGGCAGACATTCACAAGAGGGAAGACCAATAAAAACCAATGATTGCAGGTCCCGGGCCCATTACCACGCCTGCTCGCTTAGCCACCATCCTCGCTGACCAGGACGCCCTCTCGCTCCTAGCTGTCACGCAGCTGCCATGCCAGGCACTCTGCCCACCAGCCCAAGGCTTTGCTTCCATAGTCACTAATTAAAGTGAATCATAATTATTTCTGCTAATTTGGATGCAATTGGAGAAGTTTTTAGACCATGGTAATTTGGTCATTATGCATTATCTTCTACTGAGCCTGACACGCTCAAGAGTCGACTTTTTGTTCTCTATCCAAAAGCCGCTCTTGGTGCTTCCAGAGTTTTCTGAAGCATCGTTTGGCCAGCTGATACAGAACAGGACTTTCTGCCCCTGGGGGCAGCACCTGCTGTGGGTGTGAGTTCTGTCCATATTTCCCTCAAGACTTCTCAGTTCCCCCTTAAAGGGAGTCCATGTAGTGGGGGTGGGGGCACTTAGCGTGGCTAATGCTGAAGCCCAGAGTGGGGAGGCTCTCGGCTCCAGGCGCAGACTGTGCTCAGCCTGCCCCAAAAAGTGCCGCATGCCAGCCAGGTACCCGCCGGGAGTAAGGGTGCAGGCTGATTATCTGCGTGGAGCCTGCTGGAGCCAGGGCCTGCACCCCAGGGCCCGGGTTCCCACACTGGGTGCTCAATGGCTCTTGTGTAGCTCAGCAGACTCGCATTTGGAGTCCCCGCCTCTCCATTCACAGCTCGAGATGCTGAAATTGAGGGCTCTCCTCTTACAGGAGAACTAACCTCCCCATTTGGCATATGTTCACCAATGTTTTGTCCCGCAGATATATTTTCATCTCCGCAGCCGGACTGACTTTCTGGGGAAGGAGAAGACATGTTTTCAGACTCAGGGGAAGTGGGGAGCACACCGTCTCCCCGCCACCTACTGTACTACAGATGGCTAGAAGACCAAGGACCCCCTCAACCCTGCCCCCAACCCACGCACCCCCTCCTCGCTCCTTCCTTGATCTAACACCTGACCTACCATGCCCACCACACAGTCTCCTTGAGACAGCTCCTCCACTGTGGGCTTTCCTCCCCGGCTCTGGCCCGTCCTTCCAGGTTCCTGGTCACCTGCCCATCCTGTAAAGGCCGAGATTCTCTCATCTCCTGGGTCTAAATCTGGTCTGCAGATAGTTTAATTTGGTCCAGACCATTAAAATTTTTCTCATGTTGGCCAACATTTAAAAATCAAGATATTTCACATAAAACCCAGTTTGCAAATTCTCTCCCCAGCTTGGCAGATCTGGCAGCATGGGGCCTGCTGCATTCTGCTCAGCTCCCAGCCCAAGCTGAGGGCTGGCAATCCCCACAGCAGGGTGACCCCAAGTGGTCACCACCACTGGTCCCACATATCTGCCACAGAGAAATGACTCCACAGGCTCCATTTCCACACTTGCTGAGGGGTCTCAGGTTCATCCCAGCCCAGATCACTGCTCTCTGCCCTCAGCTGTGTCTTGCTGCCCCCTGGACACAGTCCCATTCACTCCTGAACAGAACTTATCATCCTCTCTGGTCCTGCCCCTTCCCAGGTTCCACCATCCCTCAGCTAGAAGGGCCCACCTTGACCCCTCTCTGTGCCCTAAACCCATCCAATCCATCCAGGCTCCTCATTTCACTTCCCGCGTCTCCAGCTGCACTATCACAGCCACTGTTCCTCTACATCCAACCGTGTTTTTCGCTGTCCTCCGCCTTCCAACCCATCCTCTTCCCCTCCCAGGTCTAACTCCTATCGCCCTCTTGCTGCTGCCTCGGAGAAAAGCTTAGCCTTCCCTGGGCCCCTCCACCCTCACCCAGGCTCTGCTCCAGCTGCACCATACCCCAAAGGCCTCCGTGCACCCGGCTCCCCTCATCTTGGTCCCGCCCCGGCTTGGCCTCACCATCTCTGTAGAGCTTTCCTCAGCAGCTGTCCAAACAAGCCAGCTTTTCCTTTGTGGGTTCCTCAGCTCTTGTCCCCAGGTGTCTTGTCACCTGTCCCTCCCGTCAGATGGACCTTGAAAGTAGAGCTAGTTGTGTCCAGCACACAGCAGACCTAGCTCATCTCTGTTGGCAACAGTGGGCCTGTTCCCCTGCATGGAGGAGGGAAGCGAATGGGGTTTCAGGAGACAGGCTGGCCAAGGAAGGGTCCAGGGCTGGAAAGATGCACGTGGAAGCCAGTGCTCCATCCTTGGCAGCCCTGCCCTTCCAGTTTACGCTATGGCACTTCCAGTCCTTGAGGAAAATGTGCTTTTCCTGCTACTGTGATGGCCTGAGAAGGAAAGGACTGGAATTGACTTTGCCTCATGTATGACAGAGGCTGACTCTGGGTCCCTTTCTATTGACAGTCTTTGCCCACCTGGACTAAGAGGCACAACCTCTCAGTGTGATTGTTTGTTTTTGCAAGAGAAACACAAGCCTCTGCAGCTCCCAAGGACTCGAGCCAGGAATCAATAAGTCCCAGCACATAATCAAGTGGATCTCAGCGAGCTTACAGGCTGACTGAGGGGGGAAGTAGGTGAGGGGCTGAGACACCAGGTGGAAGGGCTGAGAGGCAGGGTGGCCTTGACTTGTGTCCCCTCTGGGTGGGTCCTCCTCAGCAGCAGTGCGAGTGGTACCTCTCTTCACCTGTCCCCTGTCCCTGTCCAGAACTCAGCACAGGCAGGTGACACTACATGCTGAGAGAGTGAGGGACTGAAGCTCTAAGACCATCAAAGTGGCAGTCAGTGAAAAGTCTGGCTTAGTCTCTTGGAACTCAGAGAGCAGCACAGAGCTAGGTGAGGAGCTGGGAGGGGCCAGCAAACATCTAACTTGAACCAACCTCCGCCATCAGACTCATGACCCTAGCCGATTGCAGTATAATTTTAGTATAATCCACAGTTGCTGTAAGGCTCTAGCAAGACAGTGTCCCTGAAGCACTAAGCAGGAGAGCTCACACCAGGAGTATTATTAAGGAAGGAACAGGGGCATTAATTGCCTGAGGAACACAGGGGCAAGAGCGCCATCATGTGGCATTGGGGGCATTGTAGCTTTAAAACTGTTGTGTTTTTGCAACAAGGTGCACCCGTGGAATGTGATTTCCAGAGCTGTTCCAGCAGCAGGGGCAGTATTAGACAGAAGTTTGGGTCTGGAATATGGGCAAGAAGTGAATGGTGAACATAAGTTTAAAAACAGCCCCAAATCCAGGACACTATAGCCCATTTTCAAGTAATCAGACATGCATCCCCTCAGGTACCAGGAAAAGAGATGTGCAACCATCCAGGAAAGGGGATAAGAAGCTGCAGAAAGCTAAGAGTGTCTAATGACATGAAAGCCAAATGGCGGAGGATAATGCCAACCCAACTGCAGCAGCAGAAAGATTGAAGCCTCCAGAGGCTCTGCAATGCCACCCTGCTGCTGCACGACCCACAGACCTGGCCTCTACGGTCACCTTCCTTGGAGAGTTCCCAGGGTCCAGGGTCTCGTTATCACAGAAAATTCATTAGCAACTTGGGGAACTGAGCTGAGGCTCAGGCTACAGGAAAGCCCAGAGAAGAAAAGGACAAAGAGCCAACCAGAGGTCCCTAGGGAAAGGAGCCCAGAGATTGTCCAGGGAGCATGCCCAGGAGGGACTGTCCTGTCTTGGCCTGGGAGAGATGGCAGGCTAGGCGGTCATCCCTCACCACTCTATCCACAGCCCTGACAAGGCTTGCATTAGGCCTTTTCAAGTTATCCATGATGTACAATTGAGATGCTTGTCTTCATTACACTGATCTGTGGAGACAACCTGACAGGGTCACCTGTGGCTGGGCAGAGAGTTGGGGAGGTACCCTAAGCCCCACTCCACCCCCTGCATACTCTGTCTCCAGTGAAGGGGGTGAGCAGGAGGCAGAGACTGAAGTCTGGGGAGCGTGGAGCATGAAGAGGCTGCTGTGGAGGAAGGACTGGGTTTGGGATAAAGACTGTGGGGTACCCAGGGCCAGGCCATGACACAGGTGCCACAGAACCACAACCACAGTTGTTATCTTAGATCAGAGGACTAACAGGGACCGCAGGAAAAAAGCAGATGATGTGACTTATGAAGTCAGAGGGGCAGAGACTGGGGAGAGAGAGCAGACGCCTCTTAGTGAAGAGAAAGGGCGATGAGCTTTGTGGCTTGGCCAAGTCCTCAGTGGAACCTGACTTAGACTTCAGAGGTACAGGCTCTGGGTTGTGATCAAGTCTAGGGTGTGACAGGGAACTGCAGAGCTGTTACACTGGTCACCAAGGGATGGCAGGGGTTTGGCGAGGAAATCTGTGATGATTTCTGGATGTCCTCTTATAATGAATTGCTGGGTGGCATCATGCATGCTTTAGGCTGAAATTTCTTTATACATCTTCTTCCTGCACTGAACCAGAAGCTCCTAGAAGCAGGACATGTGCTGTTCCTATCTGGGCCCGAGTCTAGCCAGGAGCTGACAGAGCTGGGCTTGTGAGGGTCTGACCTGGTGGGGAGTGGGCATTGCCAGTGTCCCTTTGCACTCAGAACACAGGCTTCGTCACCAACACCTCACCTCCTACCCCACAGGTACAGGTGGGGAGCACACTTCAAGACCAAAGAATTGTCGGGTACATCACCTGCACACACCTGCACGCCCTGGAAGGTAGGGTCCAGCGGCCCAAGCTTTTCTGGGGCTGGGGAATCTTCCGTCAGTGGGCTGGGATCCGCCAGGGCCCAGCTGGGGTCCAGTGGCAGCTTCACCGTCACGCTTCTGTGGTTCCGCCCCACAGATGACAGCGCCGTTCGGTGTGGGCAGCTGGACATGCTTCAGGACTGGCTGGCTGATTTCCGAAAATCTACCTCCTCGTCCAGCACAGCCAACCCCGAGGAGCTGGTGGCATTTGACATCGTCTGTGGAGATTTGAATTTTGACAACTGCTCCTCTGGTAAGGCAGGGCTCCTGCCTGTGCAGGTTGGCTACCGGGGGAGAGAGGGAGACTTCAGTCACAGCTGGCAAGACAAGTTAGGCAGCTCGGAGAACTTCCTGCTTCTTGTGAGCACGTGGGTGGGATATCAGCAGACTATGATTTCTTTGCCCCCTAGAAATTCCAGAATGAGAAGCGCCCACGCTCTGCCTAGAAAGCTTAGAGACCTCCTTGCTGGAAACAAAAAGATGCCCTAAAAATGAACCTCTGACAGGGAAGGCTTGGAGCCTCTGAGAGTAAGGGCAAGTCAGATAATACCACTTACCAAGTCTTTATTTAGCTGCTGCTTTGTACCAGGCACAATTCTAATGGTCGTTCATGGGCCAACAGTGTCATTTAAGTCTTATGACCCTGAGAGTGGGCACTGTATTTATCCACATGGTAGGGAAGAGGAAGACCCAGAAAGGTGGAGTAAGTAACCCAAGGTCATACAGCCATAAGTGGTAAACTGGGATTTGAACCCTGCAAATCATGCCTTAAACCATTAGGCTAAAAGGCTAAAAGTTCATCATGGGTGAAGTTTCAAATAACTAATTTAAATAACTGATCTGTGTGAATCAGATGCCCGTGCTCATTCCAGGACCTCCCGGGAGTTTGGGCAGCCCTGAGACTCCCTTGCCCTGAAGAGCTGGGCTCGAGGGAAAACCCCCGGCCCATGGCTCCCGGGCTCCTTCCGCTCTGGCCACAGCCCCAGGAAAAACTGAGGATGGGTGGGCGGCACAGGGTCTGAGAGCTTGGGCCCTAGTCCTCAGAGAAGGCAGGAAACCCGAAGGTCCCAGCTGGAGCACAGGGTGATGTCCTCACCTGGCGGCAGCTGTCTGTGACTGGGGAGGCTTCCCTTGAAAACCGTGGCAGCTCAAGGGTAAGTGCCCCCCATGGAACACGGCTCCTCCACTGCAGCCCTGTGGTCCCCTCATTGACACATGACTGATGCCAGCTCCCAACACTGGGTGCTCTCAGGACCTTCCGGAGTCGGGGTGGGGACCCAGCAATACAGGGAGAGGCTGTTGGGAGGGGTTCTACCCTGTCAGGCCCCACTCAGTGCCCTGTCCTCCTCCCTGGGGTCTCAGAAATGCCCTTTTGGCTTCCTGAGTTGGCAAGACAAACTAGAACCCAGGGCAGGTCACCTCCTTCTCTGAGCCTGGGGTCAGCCCTCACTCAGCCTAGACACCCAGGTCTGTGAAGGGCAGGAGTCCTGGCTGGGGCAGCATCAGCCAGCCCCCGACAGGGTCTGCCATAGGATCTGGGAAGACCTCAAGATTTCTGTCCCCTGAACCCCAAGAAGGACAGTGACTCCTGTCCTCAGATCAAAGGAAAGCTGAACACTAGTGAGGGGGCTTCTCAAGGACACAGAGAACCAGGGACAGATGAACCACAGACAAAGGGAGACCTGATGAGCAGGAACCTGGTGGTGTCTGGACAAGGACCAGAGGGAGCTGGCCCTCCAGGAAATGCCAGACACCTTGAGACCCACAGCATTCCCTCCCTCCCTCCCTGCACAGATGACAAGCTGGAGCAGCAGCACTCCCTGTTTACACGCTACAAGGACCCCTGCCGCCTGGGGCCAGGGGAGGAGAAGCCATGGGCAATTGGTGAGCTGGGGCGGGAGACGGGGCAGCAGGAGGGGAACCAGGGCGAGGGAGGGTCACTGCCAAGTTTCAAGCTCACATGCTAAGACCTGGCACTGCACTAAGGCTGGGATCCCCACAGGCTTCCCAGAGAGACTGCCAAGACCTGTCCCCAAGGCCTAACTGCTGGGGACACCCAGCAGTTGGGTTGGGACACCCAGGCCAGCAGACACCCTCTCCTGCCCCGCCTGCCCCAGGGAGGTGGCCCTCCTCGAGGCTGACTGGGCCCTACCTGCAGTGACCACTCTCTCCCTCATTCCTAGGTACCCTGCTGGACAAGGATGGTCTAAACGATGAGGACGTGAGCACCCCTGACAATCTGCAGAAGTAAGCACCCAGCTCCAGTGGGGCAGGCAGCTCCCAGATCTGGGCTGAGCACCCAGCCCTGACTGTGGGGAGATGGCTGTGTTGTGTGGGGCAGAAGAGAGAACAGAGCTCCATGAGAAAGAAGTCTGTGAGCGCCTCCAGGACGGAAACTGGGGGCGGGTGGAGGCTGTCGGCCCTCTTGCCCCAAGGGCTGGCCTTACTGAGGAGAAGCCCCCAGAAAGGCCTGGGGTCCTGAGGTGGCGTTTTCCACACCAGCACCTGTCCCACCAGGAGCCCAACCCTGCCAGGCACAGGAAAAGGGACCAGAATCTCTCAGGGCAAGGCTGAGCGCTGCTGAGACCTCTGTCAAAGAGCCCTGGGGATGGCGTTTGCTCCAAGGAGCCCAGCAGTTCGTGGCCACCAATTAGGCAAATAAAAATACAAGCAAAGCTAACACAAGCCAGTCATTTTCAAAGTAGAGACAGCTCCATCCCAACCAAACTTCATTTTCGAACCTAATGACACTTCATAAAGGACACATTTGAGAGGCCAGCAGCAGAACCAATTTATAATTCACAGCCCAGGACTGCACAGAGTCAAGGCGATGGCTCCCTGCAGCTAATTTGAGCCAATTAATTAGATTATAGACTAAATTTGAAACATCATCCTATGCCGAGAAAATTATCTTTTTATGAGATGATTAAAAAATGACTATCAGTAACTCTCAGATCACTGATGCTGGAATTAATTATCAAAGGCGAAGGACAGTAATGGATTATATTTCTGAGCTGTACCAATGTTCTGCATGTCTTTAGTGTATTTATCTCAAGGCTGATAAAAACCTTGTAGAAACCTATGTTTGCTAGATGTGCCTCTCGAGGCCCCCTTCCAACTGTCCAGGCATAAGCCAGCCTGGCAGGCCTATGCAGTCTCTCAGTGGTGCTACTCTGCCTGCAACATCGGCCGGGCACCTGCCCTCTGCAACAGAGTCTCCCACAAAGCTTCCTCCCCACTGGTGCTCAGACTTCAGACGAAACATGGCAGGAAGGAGATGGCAGACAGGGAGTCAGAAGTCCCAGATTCGGGGTGTAACACCCCACCTGAGCACACTGCCCTCTCTATAGAACCTTGGCCAACATTTAAGCACCTCAGTTTCTTTCCTCTGAGTAATAGGATGACAGCCATATCCCACATTGTTCTTTTCTTGGCACACCTGGTCCCCAAAGTATCCAGGGGCCCTAGCAATTGTTCTTGTATCAGAAGAAGAAATGGAGGCTCAGAGGTTGGTCGCTTAAAGACAGACTGACACAAGAGTCCAGTCCTGGAATGGGGCCTGGGTGCTCTCCTAGCCACACCCCCGCCCCAGCCCCTGCTTACCTGAAACAAGAGTCATGGGGTCCTGGGGACTTCCAGAAGAGAAGGGTCCTTGAGGTTTACTGCAAAGCCCATTCCCTGAATAGGCTCCTACTGGCTCAGAGCAGAAACCTATTTTGCAGAGGAGGTAATAAGCAGTTCCATCCCTAACTCAGCCAGACCCTGGGCAGCACTGGATCCAAGCTACAGCCGCAGCCAACATCCTAGTTCAGAAAGGGAAAGCGAGTGCTGGCCTGCCCAAGGTGGACATGGGACATTCCTGGACAGATTCCAGAGTGGCCCGGTTCAGTCAGGACTTGCTGCCTTGGACTATTTCCCTCCATCCCAGTGCCTTTTCGGGCCCACGAGGAAGACAGATGTTAAATGCAGGGGTCTGCTCTGACCTGCTTCTCTCACGTGGGGATGAGAACGTGGCTCCAGACTCAGGACCCGGGGCCTGGGGCATGGGCTCACCTCGCCTTCCTGTTGCTTCCCTGTGCAGGGTGTTGGAGAGCGAGGAGGGCCGCAGGGAGTACCTCGCCTTCCCCGCCAGCAAGAGCCCGGGGGCATGCCAGAAGGGACGTAAGGATGTGCTGAAGGGCAACGGCAGGCGCATCGACTACATGCTGTACGCGGAGGAGGGGCTGTGCCTGGACTGGAAGGCCGTGAGTCTGGGGCTGGGTCGGGCTGTAGGTAGGGGAACCTGTGCCTTGCACCCCTCACCAACACTGAGCTCTCCTCTGAAAATGAGACCTGCCACTCCTGGAGACCTTCGGGGTCCTCAGGATCCTTCCAGCCCTCTGCCCTCAGGAAAACCAGGCCAGCCCCGCCTAGAGGCCCCACCCCTGTCCTCCAGGCCCCTCCTCTGCAGGGGGCCCTTTGGGTCTAATCCGGATGCTTCTCTCCCCCACCCCCAACCCCAGGAGGTAGAAGAATTCAGTTTTATCACCCAGCTGTCCGGCCTGACGGACCACCTCCCAGTGGCCATGCGGCTGATGGTGTCTACGGGGGAGGAGGAGGCATAGACCAGCCGAGTCATCACAGCAGCCCGGCCTCTGTTAGCCCTTTGAGCCGCAGCCCGTCCTTGGCCATGTCCCCTCCAGCAGCGGGGCCCAGGAGGAAGGCAGGGGCCCAGGATGAGCTGGAACCAACACTGCCCTGTACCTCTGGGCACTTACCATAGACAGAGGAGTCAGGCAAGCCCGGGGAGGCCCCGGCTGCCCAACCAGTGCCATTCTTTCAAGACGTAATTTTCTACAAAATCTACAGCACAACCTAGTTTGTAACCGTGGGTTAGTATGAGAACCGGGTTTCTGTACTCTTTGTATCTCTTCTCAAGCTTCGTCCAGGGTTCATTATTTTTGTCTGCTGCCATGTTGTCTCGCATGCCTGCCCCCTCGCATGCACGCTGCCCGCATGCCATGTGCCACGCCATAGCCACACAGACCCCTCACTCGGGCCTCACCCAAGGCCAAACTCCAAACACAATCAGAACCAGCCAAAGAAGCATTCCTGGGCACAGGGCCGCCAGCTCGCTGCCTCCGGCAGGGACCGTGAGGGCTGCGTCCAGTCACCGCGAGCCCGGGCTCTTCCCAGGGTCTTGCATTCAAGGGCGATTACATTTTAAAAAGAAAAACAGTAAAATTTAAGAACAGAAACAACCCTTCACTTTAGAGGGTTTGCAAGCCACAAGGGAGAACACTGCTCTTCTTGAGACAGGGTCCCCTGCCGGCACTCCAGGGCCCCAGGGATCCCTAAGTGGACAGCGGAGCCACAGACAGGAAGCCAAGAGGGCACAGCTTTCCTACAGGAAACGGGGTGCGTGGCATGAGGGAGAAAGGGGGCTGCTGGTTTGAGAATAATAGATTTGTAGATTCTTTTCTGTCAAAACCAACACCTCCTCTTTCTGCCAGAATCCGTCTCCCCTCTAGACACCTCTCTGGCTCGGGACCATTTTTTCCCTGGAGACTGTCCCCATCCAGGAGCTGGCGGAGCTCAGGGACTGCCTGCCTGCCTGCCTGCCTCTGGGTGGAGCTGCGGCTGTCCTCCCATACCCATCCTCAAAACTAACCTGCGGGGCCCTGGAGAAGGGGGCAAGATGCCAAAGCGCAGAGAACGGCCTATCCCCTCACTCTCACCAGTGTGCGGGCAGGGGCGGCGAGGCCAGGGCCCACTGCTTTTACAGGGCAAGGAGTGGTACTGGTTGGCATCCAGGCGCTTATACACCTGCTCTGCCACCATGTGACCAGGGCCAGCTGCAGGCACCCAGGCACAGTGTGGCAGAGCCTGCAGGTGAGGCCCGCAGCTCCCCACCCCACGGCAGCACTGCCTCCGCCCACCTGCCTTTTTAAACACACCTGGGGACTCTCCCCACAGTCACGCAGGGAGGGTTGAGTCTGTTTCCTGACAACCCCCACTGGTCTCCCCTCCTCGCAGCGCATTGACCTGTGCCCACCTCAGAGCCAGCTTTGCCCAGCAAGGCTGGGGAGCATACCAGGACCCTGCTGGTGCCGGTGCGCTGACACTGTGCCTTGTCACCCACTGAGCTGCAAGAGGGACCAAGAGGGGGCCAAGCAGCCAGCCAGAGGCCAGGGCCTGTGCTGGGAGAGGACACTCCTGAGAGCCATACCCACAATGGCACTGGTTTGTCTGAACGTACCTGGCCGGGGTAGCGGCAAAGCTGAGGGCTTCATGCCAGGAGTACTTCCCTGGCCAGGCCCCCAGCCCCACACCCTGGGTCCAGAGCCAGGAGGGGCTACTCACCACTGAGGGCACCATCCCGCCTGGGCTCTGCTGTGTTGCTCCTCCTAGGGCCTGGCCTTCAAGGCCTTAGCTAGGCTCCATGGGGTGAGAGGGCCCCTCATGCCCAGGAAAAGCCAGGAATCTCTGTTCACAAAGGCAGGGCCCACCTGGGCAGGCACGAGGCCTAGATGGCCATGGCTGAGCCCAGGACCTCAGGCTGCAGATCGGCCATGTGTCCAGAAGACAGCAGAGAGGCCAGGGATCCTGAAGGAGACAAACTCCACGTAGCTTCCAGCCCTCCAAGGGGTTGCCTCCCTCCCAGGGCAGCTGGGTGGGGGCTGAGGCGCAGGAGCACGTGCTTCTCTCCCTACTCACAGGGCAGCCTTAGGCAAGTCATACCTCCCTGTGCCTCGGTCACTTCCTGTCCTAACAAGGTCGCCTCTGCCCAGCCTGGCCCTGGTACTGACTCCCAGCTCCCCTTGCACCTCCCTCTGGTGCAGCCTCAGCGCTGAGGCCACTATTGTCCAACCACACGTTTCATAAAGCCTGTGGACTCCTGGGGCCATGCACAAGCCAGACTTTTCCATTTTAATTTTTAAAAAGCAAAGACAAGAAGCAATGGCAGGATCTCAGATTCTGTGGTGTTTGGCCTGGGAGGGACGGACACAGGAATCACCTACATCCCTAACCAATGTCCCGTACCTGCCCCAGGCCCAGCTTTCTCCAGAGAAGCCAGGAGGTAGGGTCAGAAGGAAACGGTCATTTTCATTTGTCCAAACCACCTTGAGTTTTAAGTATGAATATTAACCTTGATGCTTTTTAACTATTGTATTAACTTGCTGAGATTTAGAAATACTGTTTTAAAAAAGAAAAAAAAAAACTTTTTTAATTTCTGGTTTTTTTTTTTTTTTTATGTATTATATCCTCATGGGACATTAGGGGTTTTATATGGTAAGCACACCTGTTTTGGTAAAAATATTATCAAACATATATCAAGACAATTCTTCCCTAGAAGAAAAACAATCTTTCACCTGATAAAATATTTTAAAAAGAGAGGTGTTTTTCTCCTTTACTGGTGCTGAAAGGAAGGATGGATCACGAGGAGAAAATAAAACTGTGAGGCTCAAGGCTGGTGTTCTCCACTTATTTAAGTGACAAGCTGGGGCCAGGCCTAATTCCAACTCCAAGCCCAGGGCTGGGCAGCTAGGTGGGGCAGTGGGGAAACCGCTGTGGGGGGCCTGCCTCCCACGACAGGACAAGCACAGCCTGAGTCTAACGTAAACAGCCCAAAAACCTGGCCACCTTGGTTTTCTTGCCCAGTGTACCATCATCCCCTCTGGAACTGGGGGTAAACAGCAAAAGGTACTTTGAGCAGGGCAGAGGGGCGAAGCAAGGCTGGGGCCTCCTCGGGACTCTGGCCTTCCCTGGCAAGGCCGGGGCTGGGGCAGCCACACCATACCTATCTGCCCCAGACTTCTGAGGTGGTGGGAGGTCATTCCGCCAGAAGGGGGCACACAGGAAAAGATGTACCTCCTGGCTCCTCTCCCGATGGCTGGTTTCCTGGGTCTGCATCTCAGGAACTGCTTTGGGACAGTCTCCTCTCTGCCCTCTGAACAGTAGCCTGGTGTCCAACTGTCAGGTCTTGGTCACCTGCTGGTGCTGCACAGAAGCCAGATGCTTATGAATGTGGTTTGGTGACATTACCCAGTGAGTGAAAGGGCAAGAATCCCATCCTCAGCCTGGATTTGCCAGGGTCTTTGAGACCGGGGTCCAGACACAAGTCAGCCCCTCCTAGCTGGAGCCAGGCAGAAGTTCTCAGCACACAAGCCAGGCCAGCGATCACCATGGCCTGGCACAGCGCAGCCCAGAGCAGTGGTTCTGAAGCCTTGGAGCTTTCTGAGCACTTCAGAAGCACTGCAAGGTGGGCTCCATGGCCCCTTCTAGGCTCCAGATTCAGCCAGCAGCCCAAGATGCCCACTGCATCTGGAGTGAGGAGCCAGTGGTGCAAAAATGCAATAAGGGAAGAGGTCCCCACACCCAGAAACCGAGCTGGGCCCTAAAAAGAGAGGCACCTTCACCTTCCTTCCCAGAAAGTCACACCATTCAGAGCCCGGAGCCCCACAGGTCACTTTATTTCTCAACGAGTGAGGGTCAGTGCCCATCATCTGGGGTGTTTGAGAGTGTGAAATCCATGGTGACATCTCCGGTGTGGGGGTGGAACTCTACGACATAGCTGACTGCCTGAGGGTCACCCGATGGTGCTCTGGGGCCCAGTATGGTGCTGAAGAAGTACACGGCCTGCTTGCAGTGTGGGTTCCAGCAACAGTCCCCCTGCAGGAGAAGCAGCAGAAAGCAGTGAGGACTCCCGACAGCCAGGCCCTCCTGGCCAGCCTCCCCGCCAGGCAGCCTGAAGCGGGAAGCTGCTGCTTAGGGACAGGGACACGGGCCACTGAAGGGTTATCATCTGGCTGAACATGGGCAGCGAACACCCAGAGCACATCAAGTGGCATGGCTTCCCCCAGCAGTGACTGCTCTCAGGGTCAGCCATCTCTGGGACCCATGTGCACAGCACTACCTTGTCCTCTGCAGGCTTCAGGAGGCCGGTGCTGACCGTGCTGTCCGGGGTCAGGTGGTATTCCATCCACAGGACGGCCCCATGGCTCCTCCCGGGCCTGGGAAAGGGGTACGGTATGTTAGGCCAAAGAGAAACAGCACGAGTGATGAGCAGGCACGGCCGCAGCTCCCTTCTGCTCTCCAGAAACCTCTGGTCTACCCCACTTCCAGCCTGCCTCGGTCAAGAGGTTCCTAACACTCCGCCTGACTAAAGGCCACTTGGTAATATGCTGAGCAAGAAGAGCCACAACCAAAAGCCCTCACTCACTCCTTGCAGCCTGGCTGAGCTGAGCACTCAGGAGTTACTGTGGGACAGGACCAGCTTGGCCACGGGACCAGCCTTCTCGGCCTGAGGTCACAGAAAGGCTTGGTCCAGAAGGCTAAGAGCACAGCCCAGAGGCTAGAAGACCTCTACCAGATACCCTGGATGGCAGGCCCAGATGGGTAACTGCCCTGCCTTCCCCTTGTCAAAGAGGGGCTCTGGGCTCAGGGCCTTCACTCAATCAGAAGGGGTTCTTCCTCAGGGAAGCAGCCCCTCCTCCCCGTGGAGGGAGCTGGAGCTGGATGGCCTGACTGTGCTTCGCCAATTCCCAACCTGCTTTAATTCCCAGGAGAGCTCAGGAAAATGGTCCAATGGGTAACCATAGCAACCAAATTCACATTTCTCTGCAGCTGTGATCCAACATGCTGCTTAGCTCAAAAGGAGCCTCAGATGTGGGGGGTGGAGAACAAAAACCACTCTGACTCTGACTCCCTACCCACAGACACCTAGAGGCTGTGGGGACCCACTGTTCACTCAAGGCCACTTCAGACCAAAAAGGGCAACGCTGAGACAAGGTAGGCCATCCCACCTACGTGAAAGTGGCCATTTGGGCAGTAACTACTAGATAGAATGCAGGCCCCCCACCACTTCCTTTCTCCACACCCACCCAGGAGGTGACGCTCACCTCCTCAGTTTGATGGAGCCCTCAGCACGGACAGGCTGCAGGGGGACTGGCTGTCGAAAATCAAAGGTCAGGATCTGCTGGGGCTCAGAGAGGCTGTGGCATGGGTACTCCCATAGTGGGTGGGGCTCGGCCTCCTTGCTCTCCCTGAAGTCCAGGGCACGCTGAGAAAGGAAGGGGATTCAGGAGTCTGCAGAGATAGAACCAGGTGGCCCACAGGACATGGGGCTCATGTCCCCGTCTCCAGGGTCTATGCCAGTAGCCGCTGACCTCCATTGCACAAGTCCCTCAGGGTAACTGCCAGTCATTTGGAGCGCGGGTCCTTACAGAAAGACCCAGATGCCTGGATCAGACCAGCTGATTTCTCTGTTTCCTGCTGCCACTCATGCGCCATCTCCTCAGCAAGTCACTTCACCTCTCTAAAGCCTCATTTTCTCCCTTTTAAAATGGGATGACACTGCCTATCTCATGAGCTACTTTAAGGTGACACCTGGTGCTTAGACACTCACCGACTTGGTGACCCTTATGCACACTATAGCTGCCAGATCACTACCCCACAAGGCTCCCAGTCTAGAGGGAGCCAACGCAGAGACATGCAACCTCAGTGTCTAGAGAGCACTGACCTCCCGCAGAGACTAGGTGGGGCAAGAAACCTGCCTGGAGGGGTGACCTCTAGGATGCCTTAAGATCATACAAGAGTTGGCAGCAAGGAGAGTGGACAAAGCTGAGCAGGACAAGTGGCCAGGGTCTTGACTACAGGGGTGATTCTGCTGGGGGCAGGGAGCCTCACAGGGTTTTCCCACAGGGGATGGACAGGGTTGGACTCAGGATCTTCAGGTTTACTTGGGCTCCATGTGGAAGACGGTCAAGTGGGAGAGGCAGGAGACTACACAGTCACAGGTGAGAGACAAAGTGGCCTGGACCTGAACAGCAGCGGCAGGGTTAGGAAACTGGATCTGAGGGTCACTGACGACCTGATGGTTATGGAACCTGAGGACCAACTGCAAGTGAAGGCAAAGACTTGCCTGAGAGGACACTCAGGGCCTGAGCCCAGCATTTGGGTACAAAGTAGTGGCAGGCCTGGGATGGGAACAGTGAAAGAAGCCAGGCTAGGGGTGGGGGAAGAGCACATAGATTTTAGAAGCATCAAGGTCAGAGTGCCTGAGGACATCTGAGTGGAGAGTCCCCTGCTCTTAGTTATTTGGTCTGAGCTCAGGACAGATCCAAACATTGACCAGCAACAGAGAAAGGACAGTAAGGGCAGGGGCTTGAGGGAGACCTAGAATACATGACGCCTTAGGAGATGGGAAGGATAGGAAAAGTCCAAGAAGGGGCCTGAGGAGTGGCCAGACGGAGCTAGTGTGTGTGGTGTCTCAACAAAAAAGAGATTTCTAGAAGCCTGAAACAGTCAGTGGTCAGCTGTGAAGGGGCAGGTAAGATGCAAACTGAAAATATTCACTGGATTTATTTACTTAAAAAAAATGTTTACATAAGTAATCCGCAATCACTGTAGGAAAATATGAACAGAAAGTGAAAAATTAATCACTTCCTAATCACACACTAACATTGTGGTGTCCACTATTCTACCCTTTTTCCCTGTGCGTATGTGTGAATTTTTTTCACATATAAGATGGAATCCTGTTCCTTGCCCTGCCCTCTCCTGTGGATGTATAGTGACTCTACTTCAATACTCGTCGATTCAAATACCACTGGCACTTTCATAACTTCCTTGGGTTCTCAGGGATGCAGATCCTGGTAGCTGACTCGATCCCCTACTGATGTACAAACAGCCCTGCAGGGCCTTCCTTCCACACCCTTCCCCATGCTCCAGCACCCTCACTGGACTGGAGTCCCCAAAACAAAAATGGCTGGCTCAGAAGGTTACCAAACTACCTTCTAGAAAGGCTGTTCCAGCAGAGAACAAGCTGTTGATGATGGCAGGCGAGGTTCCAGTGGCATGGTGACAGATAGGCGGTCTGACATTCTGATTCAGGAGTTATAGACCAAAGCCAAGAACAGCCTACCACTAGACTTTGAAACAAATGATTCTCAGACTCATGCTCATAATAAACCAAGTGGATAGATAGACCAGCCCATGCTGCCCCCAGCGGAAGAGCTCTCTGCACTCTGTTTGCACAGCCCAACCCAGGTCTCTCCGGAGAAGCCAGATGTCCCTGTTAGAGGCCTGTGGCCATGCAGAGTGGGTGGATGGGACACTGTGGGTAGGAGCTGTGGCCTCACCTACCTTAATCATATCATCCATGATGTGCACATCGAAGCCTTCACAGTCACCACAGGGGCTCCGGATCCGCCACAGGTCCTGTGAGGAAGGCACAGCCCTTATAAACCCCCATCAGCCAGGGCATGCTGATGCCCACACCCACAGGGGCCACAGGGGAGTACGGCAACAGGATCGAGAAGGGTCGGTGAGGGCAAGCTGGGGTGGTCCCAGCGCTAAACCTGAGGCACCTCTTTCTATTCCCTCATGCCTAGAAGAGACCCTTAAGGTTGAAGGGACTCAGAGATACTAAAAATTCAGGACTGTTCTATGACTCTGCCAAGTCTCACATGACCCAAGTCCTCTCCTACAAGGCGACAACTGGCCATGGCCAGAGCTACTTGGCTGGGGTTTCTCACTACCTGTCCATCCTAAGACCATTTTTTTTAGGAAGAAATCTATGAAACCAGTTCTCAAGGCTCTCTGCCTATAAACAGAGCGTGAGGACAATGGGCGGGAGGGGACCAGAAGCACTCAGGCCAATCGACTTTGCGTTCTCTGTCTCCTGGACATATGCCTGGAAACAAGTGTGGTTCTCCACCTTCCTTCTTTGGTCGTGAAAACCTCATCAGGTAAATAAATAACACAGAAGAAATGCCCAGAAAACGAGTGACAGAGCCACTAAGGTAACAACGCACAAAACCATTCTTGTCAAAAAAATATCAAATGAGGTTCACTCTACATTTCAGGTTAAAAACATTTCAAAATCCTTTTAATAAAAACTGCCTTCCCCAAAATGACTTTGTGACTATGGTTCTGCTTTGATGAGAAAATTAAAAGGAAGCTTTTCAATTTTTCTTGCATAAAGAAGCTGACTCTCCGATCTCAAAATGCTTTTAACTGGAGCCTTGGCATGTCTTCTGAAACTTTTAATTTGTATATTTTAATTATTCTGATAAGCCATATTGTAAAATGACAACACACAGCCAATTTCATTTCATGAGTCAAATTACTGCATTTTTAAAAAGACAAGCCTCTTCTATTCAACCCTGTGGTGCGCTGATACAGAAACCAGAGGCCCAATCACAAAGACCTAAGTTGCTCCATCTGCACCCAAGGTCTTTGTAAGAAAACAAGGTCCTCCCCCTTCTACGAAAACATCTGGGTGGCCTACCCTGAATTCCACGACCACAGCATGCAGTGAGGCAGCCTGGGGCATCACCACAGCACCAGGCCCCAGGTACTGGTCCACAGCAGTCCGCACATACCAGAAGTACAGATTATGCCACGGCAACAGGCTGGTGGTGAAGAATGGCTCACCCAGGAGCACAGAGACCTGGCAACCAGAACAAGAATCAGGACCAAGGCATCAGAAGGATTTGTCTGAAGAGTAAAGGACAAGTCACAAGTTTCACAGGTACATGAAAGTAATAGGCCATTCATTCATTCACTCATTCAGTCAACAAACAAGCATGCCAGGTCTGCACCTGCCCAAGGACTAAAAGATGAGAAAGCAACATGGGTCCTGCCCTCAGGACTGTAGTGTGAAGAGAGAGCAGACGAGGCTGGAGGCTGTCCTTGTAGAGTGTGAAAAGCTTTAACAGGAGGGGCATGTGGAGAACCCCAGAGGTAAGAGCATCAAGACGGGCTTCCAGGACGGCCCTGTAAATCCCCATTCAAAGCTTATTAAAAAACTTATTCTCAGTGGTCGTCTAACTCTCCCTCATGAGGCACTGAGCACCAAAGAAGTGGGGACATTGGCAGAATAGTATTTTCAGACCCAGCAAAGTGCCTGGCTCAGAGTAGATGGTCAGTAAACATGTGCTGAGTAAAAGCACAAACGCGTGAATAGGAGTCCGAAAAGCAAAAGACAGGGGATTCCAGATAGATGGCAGAGGGGTGGGCAGAGGCATAGCACAGGTGGGAGAGCAAGGCCCTCTCAGGAGCTCAGCAGACAAGCACATGGGGTAGGACGGTAAACGGTGAGGCCAGAGAGTAAGAGAAGAGCCAGGTCACCCAAAAGCAATTGATGACAGGTTAAACGAACTGAACACTGCCCTACAGGCAAGAGGGGGTGTCACTAAAAGCTTTAATCAGAGAAGGAATGTGTTTTACAAAGAGCCCTCTGATGACTGTGAAGTATGAGGACACCAACTGTAGGTGGAGCAGGGACAAGTGACTTGGTTGAGTACTCCCTGTAGAAGCAGAAAGTGTGCAAAAGGGAGGAGACCAAGACATGGCAGATGCTGAGGAGACAGCACCCAGGCTAGACCCAAGCAGACAGGCATCATCAGCATTAGTCTTAACAGCCCAAACTGAAAACAATCCAAATGTCCACCAGTAGGTGAATGAACACACAAATTGTGGCATAGTCATACAATGGAACACCAATCGGCAGTAAAAGGGAACAAAATACTGACATGTTCTACAGTATGAATGAATCTCAAAAACGTGCCCACTGAAAAAAGCCCGATGCAAAAGACCACACACTGTATTATTCCACTTAAATGAAATCTGCAAAAAAGGCAAATTTATAGACAGAAACCAGATCAGTGATTGCCTGGGGCTGGGTGATGGAAATGTTGTAAAACTAGATTGTATAATAGTTGTACAACTCTATAAATTTACTAAAAAATCGTTAAATTGTACATTTGAAATGGGTTAATTTTATGGTATGTAAATTATATCTCAATAAAGCTGTTAAAAAAGAGTTGGCAAGAAAGATGACAGGTTCCAGCTTGAAGGGCCTGTGGGATATGAGAGAAAGATATCCGGTTGGCAGTTGGATGGATGAGATTTGCAGACCCAGCTTTGTTGATCACAGATTTCCATATGGGAAGGAATGTGATCACTGGAGAGGAAACACAGAGGCAGAGGAGAGGACAGACAAGGAGGATGCGCCAAGAATCATCTCTAGGGAACGATGAAGTAAAGGAGGAGAAACCCATAGAGGACTGAGAAGGAGAAGCCAGAAAAATTAGAGAAAAACCTAGCGAAAGCAGTCTCTTAAAAACCTAAAAAGAAGTGTTAAGGAAAGAGAGGGTCACTGGGTCATAAGGGTTCAGAGGGCCAATGAGATGAAGCCTGCAGGGAGACTGTCTTTAGTAACTAAGAGGTCACTAAGAGGTGGGAGCAGTTTCAGATGCAGCACTGGGGACTGGACCAGCCGCAGCAGAAGAAAGTGAATAGGAAGGTGAAGCGAAGACAGAGTGCTGTGAAAGGGAGAGAGAACACGATGTGCTGGGACTAATCTCAGCAGAGCTGTTCTGCCCTCACTTGAAGGAGCAGAGATTAGCCAGTGTTCAGAGTCGTGCAAGTATCTGCTTATCAGGCATCTCTGCAAACCCTCAGCTGTGGCACGTTCTTAGCTGGTGCATTCAATAAGGGACCAGCGGTGAGGCCCAGAGAAGTGAGGGGGAGCTAAGGCCGTCTCAAGTGCTGGGCCGCCCAGTGCAAACGCAGACCTCTTGCTACTCACCTTTTTACCCTCCAAGTCTGCAGATGTTAATAATTCCGGCCGTTTCTCTATTACCTTAATTTTATCTTCCAAGTGGTTAGCTTTAAAGATCTTAGAGAAAAAACAATAAAAATATTATTTTTGTCCGGAAAAAAACATCTCAAAGTTGCTTTATCTGTCTGTAGTTTTCTGGTCAAATAGGTCTAAAACACCACTTTTATGGGTTTTGTGGAAATTCTCCCCTCCCGGGGCATTCTACACACCAAGAATGAGATCACCAGCAAAATGGTGTAACAGAAGAAATTTCTCTGGCAGGCACGTCAACGGGACTTAGCAACAGGCTTGCAGTTCTAAAGGAGGTAGGTTATCCTTCAGAGAGGAAACCAAAACCAGTCACCATCAGGGCACCAGCCAGTCAGGCCGGCCTGTGAGCAATGACCCCCTGGGCCAAGAAAACAAATCACACATTTGCATGATACAGTTGTATCACCGCAAAAAAGAAATTAGTTTTTTTAGTTTCATGTGAAATGACGAGAAAAGCCAATGCTTCTTAGCCGAAAAACGGAGTCTAAACATCTGCTGCTGTTCAATGACAGCTCTAGGAGACCAGGCCAGTTCTCAAGGCGGGAGCAACGAGAGCGCTCACTGGCACCTGCTACATCTTCCAGTTCCCTTGGTACTGACTCTGCTTCAAAGCAGTAAGTCCCAGACTCGGGAAGGCAGGTCCCACAGGAGCCCTCATTATTTTAGTAACAATTATCACTTACTTTTTTCATCAGTCTATGAGAAGCTGCTGAACTCTCTACTGTAAATACCTAGAGAGAATACCAAGCTATCAGTTGTAGAAAAGTCATTTAACAGAGAAAATGAAAGATTAAAATGCAACAAGATCATTCCAAGGCAGAAGGCACCGCCTAACCACCTCCACTTGTGCCCACTACCCACTAGGACAGCACCCACACTCTGCACTGAACCTAGTGGCTGGCTCAGACGCTGGAGCTGCAGCTATAGGACAATGTTATAGCCTGACTCCTGCCTGCACATGGAGGCAGTAAACCCCTGGGCCTCTGACCCAGGCACACCGCAAACATGGCAGCTGCACCTGCAAAGAGCTTTAGTGACAAAACTCTACTCAGACCACATGACACCCTAACTTAAGAGCCACCCTCAGGAAGCTGGCAGGAAGGCACACGTCCAGTACCTGCTCCGCGCCGAGGTGATAGGCCAGCATGGAGAGCAGACTGCCGTCGCTGACACACAGGCAGACACTGTCTGGCTTCAGCACCTACGAGAAAAGAGCAACTTCACCACAGGTTTTCTTGTGGTCCCAAGACATTCTTGTTGGCAAACTGACAGAAACGCTTCCCTTCTCTTGAGCCCACTAACTCACTCCATGATCACTCAATCTGATCTCCTTACCCTATCCCTGCTCAATCTTCTTGTGCCCACACTAGTTATGCTTACCTCCCAGGCTCAGGCAGCAGCCAGCCCCCGGCCTCTAACATACCCACCTCACTCTCCTCTCCACATCCTGACCCCACTGTCAGGAAAGACCCATCTCAAGCTGTCCTAGAAGGCCCACCAGAAGGACCATCCCACTTGCCATTGGCCACCTCCCAGTCCATGATGACAGGCCCGTTTCCTGCCTGGTCCCAGCACAGACAGCTGTGGGCCTGCTGAGGCAGAGATGTGTTTATAGGGCACAGATCTCTGAGAGAAATTTAGGACAGTTGGGGTCCTCCTTCCTCCAAAATGCATGCATAGGTACACATATTTCTGCATATGACGCCAAAGGGTCCAAAAACCTCCCCTTCAAACCCCATGTATGGTCCTCAGGCTGAGACCCCTGCTATTGGCAGCGGGGAGCAAAGGTTTATAGGTAGGAGAGTTACATGACCAGATTTATATTTTAAAAAATTTTAGAAAGAGGGTGGCAGATGAAAGGAAGAATGCGCTGGATCCACTGGGATCACCCACAGGAAATGCTGGTGATCACGAAGGCAAAATTTCCAGCAGGACAAAAGCAGGGGCCAGGGGGAAGCTTCCAGCTGGAAGACTTTACAGGCGAGCAGAAAATGAGCCCAGAAAGTGCACTAACAGGCTCCCAGGCGCTGTCTGAGCGCCCTCCCGGAAGGAGCTGGCTGAAGCCACTCACACAGACCAGCGAGCACCGAAAACAAAAGCAGCAAATCATAAGTGGACAATGAGCTGGGGCCCATGCGACAATCTTCTTGCCCACAAGCACCCAAGGGGCTGAACACTTACTGTCTTCAGGGCCTGGACATATTGATCAGTTCTGTCCGGATCATTGATCTCTCCAAAGCGAGGCCGGTTCCAGAGCAGATGAGCCTGGCAGTCACACACGGGGCGCATTGGGTGGACTCTCCCATTCTTTTCTGGGCTGGGCCAGGAAGTGAACAGACACAGGGTGATGAGTATGACCTGCCTGACACTGGCAAGCATCAAAACATAGCATAGGGACATGCCCCAGTGAAACTGAGGTGGGCTCCAAGGGATACACCTACGGTCTAGGCACTGGCTCTCGAGTGGGCATTAGAGGTTGGAGGGCACTCCAATTCAAGACTTGCACATATATCTGTTCCAGACGGGGGCCCCGCAACTAGGGCAGCCTCTTCTGAGTACACGCAACGGGCACCAACACAGCCAGTAATCAACTTTTGTTCTTATTCTGTTCAGATATAAATGTGCCCACTTGTGCTTCTGTAATTCCCCACTATAGACACATAAATGTCTTTAATGGGGAACTTATAAACTTATAAATGGTTTGTAAATGGGGAATTTACATACATGCACAGAGACCCAGTGCCCCCCCGCCCACAAGACTCAGGGCACACCTGGTCCTCTGAAGGCTGTACCACACACAGTAGTCATCATGGTGGGCTACCAGGCAGAGGGCTGAGCCCTGGACGACCGGCTCCTCTTGTGGCAGGAAGTACACACACTGCATCCAGTGGTCCCGCCACTGGGATGGGAAACAGAGAATCAGCAGTCACCAAGCTACAACAGGAACAACATTTCCAATACAGAAGCCAAAATCCCAGCCAAAAACCAGTTTTCAGGAAGACCCTAGTGTGGGTTACAGATAGCTACTGTGGCCGAAGAGATAAAGAAGAAAATTCTCAAGTCAGAGAGGCTAATGGCCTGAAAGCTTGCTGGAACACTGCTGGCTTTAGGAAGATACAATGTGGCCAAGGACATGGGTCTTCAAAAGGGGCTCAGGGAAAGGGGACTCCAGCCCCTGACGCCCGCGCGTGTGTTTTGGGGGGAGAGGAGGGAGGCAGAAGGGAGAGAGAGAAAAAGCTAATGTGGCAAATGTTAAAAACTGGTAAATTTAAGTAAAGGGCATATCAATGTTGATGTTCACTCATTCTATGGACTTAAAATTTTTCAAAATAAAAAGTTTGGAAAATAGTACAGAAAGGTTTCATTTTATTCTTTTGAATTCATTTTTAAAGAACTAGAATACTCTAAATTATGAAACATGGTTTATTTACAATGATTCAGAGTCAACCTTTAATAAGCTCTGTTGATTGATCCTTTTTGATATTACAAATCCCACATACAGGACTCTAAAAAATACCCAAACAAAAAAAAAAAGCTATTTCAAATAAAAATGCATATAAAATAAATAATTACAGAATTATTTATACTAGCAAAAACTAGGACCAATCCAAATATCCAGCAGTTCAGAAACGTATATGTTAATTCCTTACACATAATACTCAAAGGCATTTAAAAATGATGAATATAAAGACTACGGTGCAGCACGGAAAAACCAGAAATTAGCACTGACAAAAACCTATGCACATGGAAACAGCAAAGAAAGGGAGTTCTTTTGGGTGATAGGACGGTGACTTGATTCATTTTTGTTTTATATAATGAGGTTTATTACCCTTAGAATCTTTAAGTGTCTTTTTAAAAAAGAAAGAATTGTCCTAACAAGTGGATGCCTGGCTCAGCTCTGATGAGACGACCGCCTGCACACTCTGCATCACCAGGAACGAAGGAAAACTCGGCCCCAGTGAGGCTCCAAGAGCACTGCTCAGCACAGGAGCAAACGCAGCGATGCAGTCCCCCTTCTCAGGACCGCGTCCTACCCTACCCCGTCTTGAATTTAACTAGGAGGCAGGTGAATGACATTTCCTGGATCTAACATGTCTATCTGAACATAAAACTAGAAAATGAAAATCTAACCAGATTCCCTCTGGAAAAAATAAACAGTAACAAGGAGGGAAAAACAGGTTCCCTAAAACCTGTTGTTCATTCTCTGTATTATGCAAACTGATCCTCAGACAAGAGAAGCCTTCCTTCCCCCTGACCCTGTGCTCCCACAGTACTTGCCTGTCATCGTGTCCTTCCCACACACCAGCCTCCCAGGTCCTAATGCTAAAGAGCTGCTGAGAGAACCCACTGTTCGAGGTGAGGAAGGCTGAACAGATTTCAGATCAAGAGCAGTTTAGTGACGTTATGAGGGAGATTCATGAGCAGCTCTTCGAAAGTCACTGCTGGTAAAGAAAGGACACAAGCCCCACAGTCAGGAGACCTGGGGAGGAGCACCCACCACTGCTGCCTAGACACGAGGTCCTGCTCCCACACTGGGCCAGACCAGTCTCAGTCCCCGTCTTACACGGGGATCTGAGGAGAAAATATACATAATCGCACTTTGAAGCTAGGAAAACGAAAAGTATTAAGATTTTGCAGCCCAGTGCCAATCTCAACTCTGGAAGAATTCCGACAGCACCCTCCCCCAACGTGCGCACATACACTCAGCCTGCAGAGGGCCAAGGCCTCGCAGAGGAAAGTTTGCACCCATGGCGTAAATGCGCACCCACCCACCTGGCCAGGGGACTGGAAGGTAGAATGGAGATGGGAATCCTGCAGCAGCCATGACCCTTTGGCCTAAGCAGTAACTCAGGGAGCTGAGGAGCTGCTAGGGCCTGCCCGAAGTCACGCATGTACATCTAGAACCAATCAAGACAAAACCAGTGCCCAGCAAGTGGTAACAGGACGACGGGACACAGAGGAAGGTGCCCAAGACCTCCCAGGTAGAGAGGGAAGGTCTGAGTCCTCGGCCCTAAAGCACCTTCCTCGCATTTTTTCCGAGTGTGTGTGTAGAGGGGTTAACACACGTACATGAGAGCAAATTCAAAAGATATAAAAGGGTCATGGAATGAAAAAAAAGTTTCCTTTCTAGAAACAACCATTTTTACCAATTTCTGTGAATTCTTCCCAAGATACCCTTATACACACACACCACATATATGCTCATCCACATATATTCTTACTTTTAATAACACCAGTGCTGGCATACCACATACTGTTCTGCACCTATTTCTGCTTCACTTAGTGATATACCCTGGAGACTGCTCCACATCAGTACAGAGAGAGCCGCTTCATTCCCTGAATGTATGATAATGGACTTGCCCAGTCCCCTACTCGTGCCCTCTAGGATGTTCTAGTCTTTTCTATTAAATCAGGGATGTAATGAGTACCCTGGCACACGTGTTATTCTACACATATGCAAATCTATCCAGAGCCTAAATGTCTATAAGTGGCATCGCTTCCCATCATGACAAACTGGGCCTTGCTGAGCTTTACGGATGCTCTCATGATCACTTCCTGCTCAGCCCCACAGCCCTACCAATAGTGCACTGCTCAACTTTTTGAACTTTATTCATTAACAGGTGAAAAATGGTATCTCACTACAGTTTAAATCTATGTCACTCTGATGAGCGAGGCTGAATGCCTTTTCACATGTTAAGGAGCACTCTGTATTTCCTTTTCTGTATGTAGCTCACGTCCTCCACCCAGTGAGCTGGGGAAGGCAGATTTTGACACCACAAAAAATGAGTCTGTACACAGGCTACAGTTCTCTATTCCAAGCTGATCTGAGGCCCACTAGGATTATTCAGGGGGTACAGGGGTTGTGGGACCTAACAGTGGCTGTGCCAGGACATGGGAGAGCCAGCACACTGAAACTTCCCTGTGGTTCACTGTGTCCACTGACGCTGACCATGGAAAGGTCTATCTTCTATCTTACCACGGCCAGCCTTGCTTTTTTTCTTTTTTAAACTCTTCTTTGACATTGATTCTGACATAGTCTCTTCCAACTCTAAATTCTTGAGATTCTAAGGTTCAACATGCTACTTTCCCACGACAAAAAGTGAATGACAGTTTCCTGATTTACATGAAAACGTGCTCAGCTCCCACCTCTTACCTGGAGCACCTGTGGGTCTGCGTGTGCCCAGAAGGGGGCCATGGTGCATCTGATCTTCCCTTCAGGGTCCATCTCAATGTCCCACCAGGAGAGAACCACCTGAGCTCGGCCAGAAGCCAGAAGTTCAAACTGCCTGCTATGGCAGGCTGATGAGCTACTGACTTGTTTGCTGAAGTCCACACTGCGGAATAATATTCAGGAACTTAAGCACATTTGAAGCTCACACACTTCATTTCTAAGCTTTTAGGGTGACCTCACCAACAATGAGATTTGTATGCAATGGACTTCTACCTTCAGAGGCAGGTGACATCAGCTAGGCTCTTTTCCACTCAAAAAGAACTTCCAAAGACCCCAACTCTACTAAACGTCTCAAAGAACCATTATCACCCAGGTTACTCCGTGGTACCTGAACATGGGCAGCACGTCGCTGAGGACAGTGAAGTCAGTGGGTGACACCTGGTTCAGCTGAATGTCATAGACAGAGGGTGCGCCAGGGCACCTCTCCATTTCTGGCGGGGGAACGATGACCCGCTCTCCATGTCTGGTCCGAACATGAATGGGAAACAGCTTGTTCCATGACCACATCTTTCTGGACTCCACCAGCTGAGCATAGACGTTTGCTCGGTGAGGCACTGCCTCGCAATTTTCCTAAGTTTATATTAAAAATCAATCAACCAATCAACCAACCAACCAACCAACCACCCACCCAATCAGGTACATTGACCCAATTGATCAAAAGAGGTTTATTCCTTAATATTAGGCCAGTTTAACATCTAACACCTTACCGCTATTAGTATACTTAACTGTTTTTGGCCTAAAAGCCCTTGGGGAAAAGAAAAGGAACTAGATTTGAAAAATACACGTTATGCCTAAAATGATTTATGTCAGATAAGTTCCTTGCTACCTGACACTATTAAATACTACAAAAATAAACCTTAATTGTCATCATGTGGATTAACTCCCACGTCGACCTTGAAGAAAGAGTCCAAGTCTGCCTGCTAAACACTAATTCTGGCACTGGGCTCACTGCTTCCCTTCAGTGCAGTTCTTGCCCAGACACCAGAAGCTCCTCACTGCACAGCTCAATGGACAAGTGTCCATCCTCAACTGACCTGACCTCCTGACCTCACCAGGAACCGCTGACCACTCTCTTCCCTTGGCTTTGGCTGCAGTCCTTTGTCCAGTTTTCCTCCTACCTCATTCATTCATCAACACCCTCTACAGACCAGGCACCAGGGGCCCAGCTGTGAAGAGGACACTCACAGCTACCACCACACAGAAATGACAGGCACAGGGCTTCTCTACCTCAGCACTAGTGACCTCTTGAGCCAGAAGATCCTTCATTGTGAGGGCTGTTCTGTGCATTGCAGAATGTTTAGCAATATCCCTGGCCTCTACTCACAAGATGACTGTAGCACCGTACTTAGTTGTGACACCAAAAATGTCTCCAGACACAGCTCTGGATGAGAAGCACTGCTCTAGGTGGATTCTCACTCCCCCTGTCTATCCCTCAGAGAAGGCTCCGCAGAGACCTGGTCTGGACCACCTTCTCCCTCCCTCCACATATGAGAGTGACTCCAACCACTCCGTCTTCATTTACCAAATACCATGTATCCAAAGGCTTCTTGGTCCTCTCTCTCTGGCTGACCCTCAGACAACTCAAACTCTCTGTCTAAACTAGACAAATCACCTTTACCCTTCCCCACCTTCCGGGCCCATTTCTCGAGTGTTGCCTGAGGCCCGCCTCAGCCGAGTGCCCGAATGACTCCAACCACCTTCTGACCAGTCCTGCTTCCCGACTGCTCTCCACATGCCTGCCTACATAAATCAATCCCCTGCTTGATCAAAACCTTTCTGTGGTACCGCCTTGCATTATGCAGCATGGCAACCTTTCTCGGCCTCGTGTTGCCCAACAATCTAGTCTTATCTCTAATGCCAGCTCTGGCACTGCCCACAAACTGAACAACTTGCAGGGTCTGGGAGCCACTGCACTGATTCACCTTTATGTTTTTGTGCGTGTAGATCTCCTCCACCACGAATACTCACGCTTGGCAGGCCGACACCTGATCACTCTTCAAGACTGACTCAGCTCAAACTTAGTCAGCGGAATCTCACCCCACTGACGACCACCAGGGCATACCTCAAACTCTACTGTGATGACCTGCTCACCTACCTGCCTCTCCAAGAGCTCACTTTCACATTCTTGGTACCCAAAAAAGGCAAAATGAAGGCGCTCAATAAATGTGTCTTCTGAGATCAATCCCTGGGTCAATGCCACATGGAATATCAGACACACTAGCAACCCAGTTCCATGACCTCCAGAGGGACAGGGCAATGGAAGCCTTTGTGTGCCAGCCCTAACTCCTTCAGTTAGGAATTAGGAATTAGGGTGGGCAGATGGGGACAGTGACTGGAGTGGACTATGCATACCTGGCTGCTACAGGCCAGCTGGGAGAGGAAACAGGACAGCTGTCTGCCCATTTTTTAATAAGATGAATTAGAGAAAGACAAACTGGGCAACGTAATTCTAAATACCTTGTTCTCTGTTTCAGGGATACATTTAGTTGGTGGTTTTAATGTGAAGAAATAGAAATTCTTACTAATGAAGTTACTAGAAAAAAATTTTACACTTTGGAAAAGATGAGAGTCTCACAAAGTGCATTGATCTGCAGAACAATTACATCATGTGCAGATTGTGTAAGTAGCATGGACTCTGGCCCCAACTACCCTGAAAAGAGCCCCCTTCCTCACTCTGAGGGCACCAAGAACCCCTAAAGAGGGTCCCTGGCCGGGACATTTGCAGGCTCACCTGGATGGTTCCCATAGGGCAGGTGCCGGCAGAAAAAGCAGACACTCATACCTCCCACCTGGCTTTGTCTCTGAGTTTCCACCTTCAGTTTATGTCCATACAAAAGCAAGACCAACATTTCCAAGATAATATTTTTAGCATGTCTCTCTTTTCAAAGAAAGTGACAAAGAGTGCCACCATCCCAACTCCTTTACTTAGAATGGCCTGGCCTTCAAGGCCTTCCACTCTCTTCCCCACTCTCTGCCATTAGCTCACAAGCTCCCCAGGCTGATATTCTCAGTGACCTACCAAGCAAGTCCTCTACCTGGGATACCTTTCCCTCTCCTCAGTGCCTTTCCAAATTCCACCCTCATCTTCTTCCTGACCCCTGACCTCTTCTACCAGTCTTAAATCAAATGTCTGTGGTGCTCCTGTCTGCTTCTCCATTTGGCCCAACCAGTCCTCACCATCACTGACGAGCGTGGGTGAGAAGCAATTAGGATGTCTTATACTTCTTCCTGGGCGCTAGAATACCTTACGCATAGGTGACACTCAAAGAATCTTTGCTGAATTGAATTGAAATAGTTTCTTGCCTTTTAACTCTAACCTACCAAGAAAGTCATAGGAGTCATAATTAAGGAGAACCAGAATCCTGCAGGAATCGAGGGGTGGCCAAGGGTACACAGAGGGGTACTAAAGGCTCGGGCTGTGAAGAGCATGGTGCATCAGCGAGAGCTATGTGCACTAGCTGAGATCACAACAAGACGCCTGAGAAAGGTCCTCGGTCCCCTACCTGCACGAGATGCCTGTGTGCGTGCTCATAGGAGGGCAGCGCTCCCTCCCCAATCAGTTCCGTGTCAAACAGCTCTGTGATCAGGATGTTGGCACGGCATGGCATGTCACCATCTGAGAAACACAAGGAAACAAGAGTCAGAAGCAACCTATGGACTAGAAAAAATATTTACAGCAAATACGTGCAAAACAAAAGGTTAAGAAATCATTAAATTGAAAGCACATACATGTGCTGAAGTATTTAGAATGTCTGCAACTGACTTTACAATGGTTTAGCAAAAAAAAATCCATATTTACACACACACACACACACACACATACTAACAACTGGTTAAGCCTTGGTTAAGAGAAAATGGGTGCTCACTGTACTACTCTTTGAACTTTTCTGTATACAAATTAATGAACTATTAATTATTAAATTAACAAAAATCATTTAAAAAAGCAAAAACTGAATGCTGGTACTTCAAATATTTCTAGGCTGCAGAGAGAGAGAGAGAAAACCAAAGCAACAATGAGAGGCTAATTGATTCCACTGATACTCTGGGTTCAGAATCACCAGTTCCTTACACTATATCCTACTGAATTAAGTTTGTTTCTTACTACCAAACAATTCCCCAGGTAACAGTTGTTTTGGGATAGTAGAGTTATGGAGGGTCTTTCTGTTAATTCCCTTTTCTAAATCTCTGTAATGTAATGTTACTTCTACAGTTATAATTTTTAATGAGCCAAGAGACAAAACAGACTTTGGAAGTGGTCATTCATCATGAAGAATTAACTAAACACTCATTATGGCTCATGAATTATAATTTGACAAGGCCCACTCATCTTCCCTACAGAGAAGACAAGTCTCATGGACGATGCAAGAAAAAAACAAGCATTAAAGTGTTTCAGAAAAGGGTACAGCAGGGAGCCTGAATCTTGAGTCATAGAGACCTGGGCTTTGATCCCGCTTTCTAGCCTTGAACCCTCAATGCTGACCATCAGTCACCTCATCTGTAAAATGGAGGGTAACAAGACCTGCTCCACATGATGGTAGTTACGATGGCAAAGGTAAAAACTGTTTACTTCTGTGAAGTACACTTGTGCTCAACGGCTGTATGATGTGAAAGGAGGCTGAGAAGAAACTTCTGTCTTCTGGCACAGAGAACACTCTTCTGAGTCATCCTGCCCATCCTCTCTGATATCACGTCAAACATCCACTGAAATACACTGTCCCAAACTGAGCCAACCACACCATACCGCGGTGTACCTGCTTCTCCCTCTGACGTTTCCACCTCACACAGTTCAGAAACCTGGGCATCATTTACTAGCTCCAGAAGAGCAGAGACCCTGACTGGCCTGTTCACCATTGTACCCCAGTACCTAGAACATTGCCTAGCAACCAATAATAGTCTGCAAACATTAGCTAAATTCTTGATTCCTCCCTCTCTGCCACCTTATAGCCAATCAATCAACGAGCCCTGCTAATTCTAGCTCCTGAATAATTTTTAAGCCAATTATGTAACTTAAAATGATTTGTCCGAATTTGTTTCAAATAAAGCTTTATGATCCAGTGAATTGCAACAAATAATCTTGAGAGCCTGGTATCTAGCATGTGAGTGACAATGTAGAAGGGTACAGAGTGTGCAGCAAGTGCCTGATGAGGGGCGGTTACCCCCGGTGCCTCATAAGTCTTCATCACATGACTGAATGGATGAATGAATGCTGCCGCCTGAGTCAGCTGCTATACATGCCTCAGTATGTAATCCATCCATCTCTGGGAAACAGGCAACAGGCTATTTTTAAAAAGGGCTAAGAACAGAACCTTGGATAACATGTATTTGGGAGAGAAAGCAAGCTACAAAAGAGAACCAAGGTTGGGAGATGTCACTGAGGCCTGGGAAGAGTTTCCAGAAAGAATGAATGGCAGAAGTACCCAAGTTGCAGTGTTTGAGAGGAAAAGCAGAAGGAAGATCATCAGCCTTGGCAATGAGAAACCCACCTGTCAAGCTGGGGGAGTGGAAACAAAGTCTCACAAGGGGTTAAGGACTAAGCAAAGTTGGCAATTTACTCACTAAACAAATATTACTGAATCGTTTCGTGCCAGCCATGTGAGGTATGGAATGGAATAATTAATAAGACGACACAGTCCATGACGTCAAGATGCTTCAGCTATGTGGGGATGTAGACATTAAATACATCATTACATAATAGCTGCTACAAAGGAAAAATATTAAGAAAGCATATGAGGGGCCTGGCCTAATGCAGGTTGTGTGTGAACAACACACAGCCTGTAGAGGGGCACAGAGTCACAGAGAGCATGACATTGCAAAAGCTGCTCTGTGGATCAGTCTCTGTGCTGCCAAGACAGAAAAACTTTAAAAAATAAATAATCTCCACCTCTGGCCAAAATAGAATAACCAGGATCAGACTTATCCACCCACTATAATCAACCAGAAAACCAGACAAAACATATGAAACAAGTGTTTTCAGATACTGAAAAAGAGGAAGCACAGTTTGTTCCCAAGAAGGGAAACAAAGTGACCCCTACTATCACTTGGCTTTTATCCAGCAGGAACTTTCCAGACAACAGTACAAGAAAAGAGAAATCAAGCAGAGCACAGCAATCTGGCTGAGTTCAGGAGACAGTAACTGAAGTTCAGGGAAGTAGAGGCAATGGGACTTGTAGGGGAGAGAACCAGAGAGAAAGTTACACAGGAAAGGGGCTTCAGAAATCTGCACAGGGCTCCCCTTACGTCTCTTGTTGAATATATTCACATGTACATAGGGTAAGACTCTAGAAGGCCAGGCAAAGGTTGACCATGTAGCTACAAGCTGAACAATCTCCAGAGCTCACATATGACTGGGTAACATTCTAGCTATGATCACCCAGCACACGCACTCAGCAGAGACCCCAGAAAGGTCACATCCTACCAGTATGGTTGAAGTAGTCTTAGACCAGGGTCCCACCCTTCACCCTGGGACGTTTGGCAATGTCTGGAGACATTTTTGGTTGGCACAAATAGTGAGGGGGAGGGAGGTGCTACCAGCTTCTAATGTTTAGAGGCCAGGGGTAAGCATCCTACAATGCACAGGATAACTACCCCTGGCACCCAACAAAAAATTACCAGGCCCAAAAGGTCAGCGGTGCTGCTGCTGAGAAACCCTAACTTAAAGCTATTCTAACCGGCTTCAACAAAGCTTAGAAACAAGCCTTAGAAGGATCTAATTGATTTGCAAGTAACCCATGCCCAGCAAAGCTTTTAAAAGAAGACGATAAAACCCAGCACTCAGCGGTGTAAAATTCCCAATACACATACTACTCAAATAAAAATTACCAGACATGCCAAGAAGGAAAATGTAACCACAACTAAGATTAAAAATTCATCAATATGACAAACCCCAAAAAGACAGAGATGATATAAATAGAAGATAAGGATGGTAAAACAGCTAATGTAAATATGTTAAATATTTTAAAAAAACACATAAGCACGATGAGGAGAATAATGGAAGTTATAAAAAGAATCAAATGGAACTTTAGAGATGAAAAATACAATACCAGAAATGAAAAGTTCACCAGATGTGCTTAACAGCAGATTAGACACTGGAAAAGAAAAGATCAGTGAACCTAAAGACCCATATGAGAAACTATTAGTCTCCATCAATAGGTGAAAGGATAAACAAACTGTTATGTCCACACACAGAGTGCTGCTCAGCAACAGAAGAGAACGAACTCTTGATACACAGAACACGAATGAATCTCAAAAGCAACATACTATGAAAAAGAAAGCAGGCACAAAGAGGACACATTGTACGATTCCACTTCCTCGAAATTTTAGAGAAGGCAGAGCTAATCTATATTGAAACAAGCAGGTCAGTGGCTGTCTAGGGCCAGGGCTATGGGAGGAATTGATGTAAATGATCATGAAGAATTTCTTTGGGCATGATGGAGATATTCTATTATCTTGATTGTGGTGCTGTTTACAAGTGTGTTTAAATTTGTCAAAATTCATCGAACTATACACTTAAAATGGGTGTATTCATTTTAGGTAACCTATACCTCCAATAATGTTGATTAAAAATAGAATAAGGATTTGTGTATTCTTTTGTATGTGTTTTAAAAAATAAAGGGGACACGAATCTCTTCTTTTGCATATGTTTCAGATTCTCCATAAAAAAAATTTTTTAATGGGAGAAAAAGGTTGACTTTAGGCAGATAGTCCATTCTAAAACACTACATTTTTAAAAAGTTGGGGTGATATCCATAACCTCACTCCAGCAGCTTATTTTACAAATCTTTACACTGTGCTCTACAGGTATCAGTGGCATGTGAAATTTTAGAACTCTTAGACTATAAAAAACATTCTGGAAACCCAGAGAGATTGTGCTATACAAGCAAATTTCTCACGTTGGACGCTGAAGCACAATGTCAGAACTAAGCAAAACTCTTGCTGCTATCTACTTAGTTTCACTTCTGTCTGATAAAACTCGAAACTCAGAGTGCTGAACCACAAAAGAATTCCAACTTATTCAAGCGAAAGATTTCATTTGCATCACAGCTATTTCTCTTATTAGCTCTGGTTTACTAATTGCTGATTTGTTTTAGCTAGTAGAAAAACAAACTAGCAGAGAAGCAAAGTGCTTATTTTCAGACCACCACAACCACATGGAGAGGCCCCATATCTCTGCAATTACCTGGAAACACCTATTCCAGGTAACTTGAATAAGCTTTTTCTTCTCTTTTACAAAAAGCAAGAAAAGCTTCCAACACTAGATGTGTTCATCTTACCTGGCCCTATGGTCACTTCTGTGGAATGCTTGTTGATAACCTTAATCTTATCACTGAAGCCATTTTTCTCTACAATCTTCACAGCAGCATCAGCCATGGGCTTGAAAACCTAGAAATTAGAGCCGAAAACCAAGAAATATGAGCAATCAATTTAATAACATGCTAACACCCAAGGTCAGCAAGATGTTCCTTGATTCTGGTCTTAAGATCTGAAGTAAAAGAAGCCTCCACTCCAGAAATTCCTTCTGAATATAAAAAATGTGCTTTTGTTACCATTCGCAACATAGACAAATATTTCTTTCGGCTGATTTAATCTAAATAAGACTTCATTCTGTAACAATACTTTATTCTCCAAATGTGTATCATGAAAATGCACAGGAACGAGATTCCTCTGAGTTTAACTTGCAGCTAGAAGTTCCCATTACATGCCAGGCACAGGGGGGATGCGGGGGCGTGCCAAGAAGGTTGCATTATCTAGTAAGGGCAGCAGATGTCGGTGCCACGCTAAAAGGAACCAAAGAGAGAACTTGCCTCACAAAACCATAATCTGTGACTTGGGACAAGATGCATCCAATACTCTTTAGATAAAAGTGAGACTGTTACTGTGTTAGACCTAAGCGTAAGCAGGTCACCCTTCTGCTCAAAACTGTCCCCAGTCCTCACTGCTGGCAGAAGATCGCCTATATTTTCTTATGGTATTTGAGGCCCTTCATGATACAGACCACCTTGCTTCTCCCCACCACCAGCTCTTGCCTCAATCTCCATCTGCCCCCCGCAACTGATGTTCCAGCCACACTCACTGTTCCAAGGCAAACCTGAGCCTTCCCTGCCCTAGCTCCACTTGCCAAAGCAAACTGAACTTTCCAGGGCAGCACAAACCTTTGGAAGAATATAAACCAAAATTTTAACAATGGTTAACTTTGAGGTAACACACTATTTTATTTTATATTTATCAAATTTTCTATAGATATGTATTATATATATATTATCAGGAAAAAAAACATGTTTAATGTTTTATTACAGGAAAGAAATAGCAGATTGCCAAATTATTGAAAAGGTAATAAGATAGCTGGCTCAGCAGAGACATTTAATATAGTGGCTCTCTGTCTACAGCCATGCCACCCTGAACATGCCTGATTCCGTCTAATCTTGGAAGCTAAGCAGGGTAGGGCCTGGTTAGTACTTGGATGGGAGACCACCTAGGAAGACCGGGTGCTGTAGGCATAAGTAAAGTAAGTAAGTAAAGTAAGTAAGTAAAGTAAGTAGGTAAAGTAAGTAAGTAAGTAAAGTAAGTAAGTAAATAAATAAAAATATAGTAGTGGCTCTCAACCTTGGTGCACATTCAAAAATCCCAATGCCCAGGCCACATCCCAGAATAATTAAATCAAAATTGGGGGGGAGGGGTGCAGACATTAGTATTTTTTAAAGCTCCTCAGTGATCCTGACATGTAAACAAGGCTGAGAATCACTGTTTTCAGAGGAGAAAACATGCACCTAGAGGAAGAAATTGTGTCTGATTCAGCTCTACATCCTCAGAACTTGGCGCTGTGCTTGGCACGGAGTGAGCGCTCTGTGAATGCTCACTGAACAAATGAATGGGCAAAGTGCAAGGAGCATAACGGACTTCCCACACAAGCAGCAGGACACACGACTAAGGAGCATGGCTCACCTCGATGGCATAGCAGAAGTCAGCACCTGCTGTGACCGCCATCATCGACAAGAGTCCCGTGCCGGTACCAATGTCAAGAACCAAGGCTTTCTGTCCTCTTTCCTTCACCCTGCTCACAGCAGCCCGGATACCCTGGTAGTATTTTACATTCTAAGAGAAAGAGAGAAATAGCTGTAACTTTATAACAGTTATTATAAATAAATAGAAAGGTACTTTGTGAAGTCCTAGAGTCACCGTTGGCAAAAGCTGTGTCAGTCATGACCCTGTGGCCTTTCTGGCCCCGTGAGGAATAGCACTGACTAGTGGAGTCAGCCAGGCCTTGCAAGACCCCAAGAGCCTGGGTCAGCCTCTCACCCTTTATGAAGCAGCTGTCTTCCCCCGACACCCACTCTTCCATACTCCGCTTAGTGATGCTGGGGCTGGGGCTCTGGAAACACCGTCTTTTTCCAGCTGTTAGGTATGGAAACAGGGGAAACTACAAGGTGACTGGAAGGTAGGAGAAGGGAGAAAGCTTGTTCCTTCCCGTATGGCTGCTGCTCTCATCGGTGTCTTCCCAGGAGCAGCAGCTGGTTCCAGAAGGCAGATCCTGCCAGGACTCCCCTAAACAGCCTCTCTTCCGGATTCTCTGAGGTAGGAGCAGCACTCAGCAGAGATCCCTCTCAGAGACTGGAGCACCAGCACCACAGGGCCTCTCCTCCATGCTTCTAGGTTCTAAAAACCCCAAGCTTCTCCCTTTGCTTCCCCAGCCCTAGGCAAGGTAACTGCTTCCTGCTTTTACAACCACTGGTTTACCTCGGTGCTCTCATCTGTTTCCCAGTCCTCCCACACCCGTATAACAAATTTCCTCTGTTGAAATATGTAATTTGGCTGTTGGTTTCCTTACTGGACTCTAATTCATACAGCCTCCATGTCTAAAATACATTTTCCCACTCAGGAAATGACTTCTTTGCATCGTGAAGGTTTTTAGTTCATGTCTTTAGTAACTTCCCAGAAAAATTTTCCATCTCTAAGAGTTTGTCTGAATAAGTACCCTGATCATGGGAAAATATTTGTAAATCCTTTTAAATGTGCTGATGATCTGGCAAGTTAGTAAGGAATATTAAAAAGTCAAACAATTGAAGTGGATCCACCCCTGGTGAGCCTTTAGATGACAATAATACCAGCTGACACCTTGAGCACAGCCTGCAAGAGACCCAGAGCCAAGGCACCCAGCTAAGCGAAGCCCAGATTTCTCACCCACAGAATCTGTGAGATAATAAATGCTTTAAGCCATTAAACTTTGAGATAATTTGTTATCCAGCAACAGATAACTAATACAGGACTGGCATCAAAAGGACCATATTCTCTGACCACCGTACAATCAAGTTAGAAATCTCAATAACAAAAATATAAAGAAAAAAAGATTTTGAACATTAAGAAATTCTAAATTTACAGGTATAAGACAAAATAAAAAAAAAAGAATTAGAAACTATCTAGAACTGAATAATAAAAAAATTACATATCAAAACTCATGGGATAGCTAAAACAATATTTGGAGAGAAATGCATTAAAAAAGACAAAAAATGAAGCATCCACCTCAAAAATTAGAAAAAGGACTACCAATATAAACCTCAAATAAGTAGACGAATAAAAATAAAGAACAAATATTAAGCAACTAGGAAACAAACATAGAGATCAACGAGGATAAAAGTTCATTATTTCAAAAGACTAATAAAAAAAGGTAGAGGGAGAGAAATAAGTACAAGTAACCAAAAAGTGAGAATGAAAGGAAGGGCGGTGATGGGGGCTGTGATAATGTGCACACCACAGGTATTAAAGAGATTAAAGGATATCATGAACAACTTTTAGCAAATACATCTTTTAAAAAATTAGATGAAGTAGACAACATTTTATAGAGATTCTACCCAACACACTAGAATAAGGAGAAATGGAATAAGATCTAGAAAAAAAATAAAGTCATTTTTCACAGATGAGATGAATGCAAAACAACAGCAACAACAATCCAAATACCTACAGGTAATTATTAGAATTAAGAGAACTTAAAAAGGTTACAGGATTCTAAATCAATAAATAAAAATCAACTGAAATTTTATAAATCAGCAACAGCCTTTAAAATCTTGCAAAAGGATTTCTTAAACAAGAGACAAAAAGCACCAACTGATAAAGGAAATATGAAACAAATTTGACATGAACTTAAGAACTCATGTTTATCAGATTAAAAAAAACCTACGAACTAAGAAAAGACATCTGCAATACATACAACTGACAAGATTTGTACCCAGAATATATAAAGAACTCCTATAAATTACTAAATCATAAAAGAGAAAACATGAATAGCCAGTAAACAAATGAAAAGAGCTCATGTTCAGTAGTATTCAGGGGAATGCAAGTCAAAACTATAACAAGAGATTAGTTCAAACCTACCAGATTGTCAAAAATGTTAAAAACTGGTTAATACCAAATACTGGTAAGGATGTAGATCAATAAGAACTATCGTAAACACGCAGTGAAAGTATAAACTGACATGATCCCTTAGGATAAGAATTTGACATTACCTAGCAGAGCTGAACACACCCAAATGCCCAGCAATTCCATTCCCAAGAGTGTACAACCTACAGAAAAGTGTACCAGAGTATACAATGTTCCAGCAGCACTATTTAAAAGAGCAAGAAGCTGGAAACAGCAGAATGGGTAAATAATGACACAGTCACACAATGGAATCCATACAGCAGTGAAAATGAATGAACTACAGCTACGTGCAAAATGAATGAATCTCAAAAACAAGGCTGAGCAAAAAGACAAGTCACAAACACAGTATAGCTCCATTATTTAAAGTTCAAAAACGGGCAAAATAAAGAATTTATTTTTTAAGAATACAAAGTAGGAGATAAAACTATAAAGAAAAGCAAGGGAATGACTGATACAGAATTCGAGACAGTAGAAACTTCTGGGCCAGAGCCAGGAACACAATCAAGGAGTAGACAGGGGAATTGTGACAGTAACGTTCTATTTCCTAAAGCTGAGTGGCGAGTCTATGAGCATTTATTTTATTCTTCTTCTTTAAATTGTGCATATGTATTTTATACTCTTTTGAATTATATATTTTTGAAGTTTTTGAAAGATTAAAAGTTTTTTAAATAAGTATGGTACCAGACCTCAAAATAGTAACACTGAACTCTACAAGAAAATGAAATGATTATGTCAAGATTCTGAAGTGATTTCCAAAATAGAAACCGTATTCGGCCTAAGTCTTTAGTGTAAGGGTAGAAAAAATAAGATTTTAGATATGTCAAGTCTCAAAAACCTTACCTCCCAATGTACCCTCTCACAAGAAACTGAGGAAGGATGTGCTTCACCAAAAAGACTTAGCCGCACAGGAAGACATGGGATCTAGGAAATGGAAGGCCCCATAGAAAAAGAGAAGTGAAGAAAATCTGCAGCAGGACAATAAAAAATGCCAGGCTGACAGATACACGGCAGGTCTAGAAAAGCACTGGATCCAGACTGGAGCAGGTCAAAATGATCCCAGAAATACTCTCCAAGAAGATAAACTGACAGAATAGCTGATTGTTTGACCTTTCCTTCTGAAAAGACATTTAGACAATTGGGGGAAAGTTTGGGCATAAAAGAATGACATGTAAATAGAAAAAAAAGCCAAAATAAGATAATTATTAACAGAGCTATGCAAGAGAGGAAAACTAATCAGAGTATATCACATAGCTCAACTGTGAATAGTGTTTAAATAGTTGTAACAAAGTAAATATGAATTTAACTAACATACTTATACAATTCTTACCTCTTAACAACCCTTTAAAAGGAAGTACTATTGTTATCCTTATTTTACAGATGAGAAAACAGAGGCACAAAGAGTTTAAGTGACTTGCTAACTGAAACTCTGAATATTGATTTCGCAAAAATTATAACAGTATTGGGAGGAAAGAGGAACAAGTTGGAAAGCGGTGAATAAAAACCAAATTCTTAGCTCTCACAGTGGCCATTCCATAGATAATAGCTATTTAGATACGGATTTAAACACAAAACAAACAGCTCAGAGAGAAGAAAGGAGGTGGCCTCTGAGGTTAAACATGAAAAGGTTTTGTCTTTGGGAAATGATATAGCAGGGGACTGCTATTTTTCACAATAAGCCTTATAGAACTATTTGATATATAAAGTAAGTGCATTTATGTCTTGGATAAAATCACTATGGCATTTTATGTTATGTGCTTCCTACCACAAAAAAAAAAAAAGTTAAAAAAATCAGTATGGCAATTGTTACAATTGTTGAACTAGGAAAATGACCATCAAATACATTATATCCCTAAAAAGCAGGGGGCAGTTTTCTCTGGGTAGCTGTGGCTGTGAGGCTACAGGAGTGGGGCTGAAAGCTGGCCTGGGAGTTTCAGGCCAGCCCATGAGTTAGCTGACCACCTGAGAACCCTGATAAGCAGCATCCTGAATAGTAAACCAGAGTTGACATACTCTTTGAATGACACCTATTAAATTAGCTATACTTTTTAATTACCAATTTTGAAGATACTACAGGGAAATCAGAGCCCTCTTAAAAGGCAATTTGGCAGCGGCAGTGTCCATCAAGAGTCATACCTATGTTTATTACTGTAGACTACACTAAAGAAGATATACAGAGAGATGGCAAATAAGCACATGAAAAGATATCTGAAATCATGTCATTAGAAAAATGAAAATTACAAATACAAAGTTAAATGTATGTTTAACACACAGACCCAGCAATTCTACTCTTATATATCTGCCAGAAAGAAATGAAAACACATGTCTACACAAAGACTTGTATGTGAAGGTTTACGATAGGACTATTCAAAATTCAAAACAGTCCAAAACTAGAAACAATCTAAATGTCCATCAACTAGTAAACAGATAAACAAAATATAGTATATTTATATAATGGGATATTATTTAGCAATAAAAAGAAACGAATACCAATACATACTCAACATGAATGAACCTTAAAAACATGATGAAAATACATATAAGATATATATCATATGATTTCATTAATGTAAAAGTTATATAAAAGGCAAAACTATACGGAGAGAAAGCAGATCAGTGGCTGCCTGGGGCTAGGATGGGCACCGAGATTGACTCCAATCAGGCATGACATAATTTTATGAAATAATGAAAGTGTACTAAAAAAACAAAACAAAATAAAAATGTAAGACACCATGCAAAAGTATAGAGAAATGTGTTTATCTTGGCTCTGCCATTAACCAGCAAGTTCTGATCCCATTTTCTTATGGTAAGTGGAAAGCAGAAGTTAATAGTTAAATAACGAATGTTCGGCCAAGGGGCTTGAATTTACCTCGAAAGCAGTGAGAGGCACTGAAGGGTTTTAAGTAAAGAGTAACATGGTCAGATTGGCATTTCAGAAAGACCCCTTGGGCTGCTATGTAGAGGATAGAAAAGACGGGCCAACACCTGTAAACGAGGGCTGAGCAGGCAGTGAGGTTGAAAGATCCATAGAATGTGAAGACAGACTGGAGGTTCAGTTGAAGGAAAAGGTCCCATCCTTCAGGCTTGGCTGACTGGATGGATGGCAACACCATTTGTCCAAATCCCCTGGAAGCTGGAGCAAAATCCCCTTAGTTTGCAGACAACACTAAAATCTGAGAGGCTCGCAGCCACGGGAGTCTAAAAAGCCAAGACCATTAAGCTAGAGAGGAGTAGACAAATGCTAAGAACAATATTCGTTCCACATTCTATAATTCCCCAACAGTTCATGAAAGGTTCTCGGATATCCAATTTAAATTAGGAAGGTACATAGTGCCTTTCGTGTAGCCTACACACTAATGATACTTAAAAAGTTCATTCTGTCACAGTGTGTCCAAGAAGTACATAGGCTGAGCAGTTAACCAAGGCTGGGTGAAGGAGACGAAAATGGCCCATGACCACCCTTATCACATTCGTGATGCCCCTCCTGCTCTGCACTGCTCAGTTTTTAAGCTTGGTCCTGCATCCTTCTCCTTCAAGCCTCCTAACTTCCAAACCATCTAGATGAAATGGTCAAGCACTCTAGTAGACCAGGAAATTCTGGGTTGTTAACATCATAAGACAAGAACTGCAGCAGTCCCTAACTCAGATAAAAGAAAACTCAGATAAAAAAAAAAAAATCAAAGAGGAAAGCTGAGATATAATTCTGCAATGAAAGTCAAATCTGCTTTACAAAAAAGTCTACAGTGACCTCTAGAGATTTTATTTTTAAATTACAAATGACTACACAATGTGAAACATCATACAATTAGAGAATTTTTATTTAGAGAATATCATGGAGATCAGCTAATACATCCCACTCATTTTAAATCCTAATAAATGAGGTCCATGGAGGTTCCATGTTTTCTCCAAAGTTACACTCAGGTCGAGAGCAGAGCCAAAAGTAGGACCCAGCCTCCATACTGACTCCCAGCATCATTCTAACATCAGGCCTTCAGCAGTTTTTAAACTGCTTGTGGGGTTTTAGAAACCCACATCAAGATAATGGTTTCCAAAAAATAAAAAAAAATTTTAAAGATAATGGTTTCCTTTTATACTTACTCTGTCTTTGTCATGCAGCATATCAGCATAAGAAGATCTTAAAAAAAAAAAAAGACAGGTGAGAAACCTTTGCTAATAATGACATACATCAACATATGAGTATATTCACATATATAAATGCATTTTTAAATCAGACAGAACAAACATCCAGGCTGATTTTAAACTATTTTCATAGTTATATGCTGTCATTCTCCAGTACTGCAGAAAAAATCTGACAGATGTTTATTTTCGGCAAAGAACCTCAGACCCAAGAATGCTCTGGTAGTTTGCCCTGTCGCAGTAACTCCAAAGCCACTAGCATATTGATCATGTTATATATCATACTTTCCCTCAGAATAACTCAGACTCAATTTGTCTAATACTAACATAATCTTGCATACACTTGTACTTTGGGATAATCACAGATGTAATACCAGGAAGAAGAACTGAGGAAAGGAACAGTATACACTTGCTGTAAACGTGACGGGTATCATGCCCAGCACACACCCTTATGACATCAGAAAAACTAAGCGTTCACCAAATTGCAGAGTGTTAAAGGGAGTTGCTTATCCATATTTTCTATTGTAGCAATTTATAAATTTGAAAACCTCTGGTAAGGTCAAGATGGGCCCACAGAATTCAGCAGGCGGAGCCCAAAGATGCTTTCTGAGAGTTCCAAGTGAGAGCCAAGGCATTCTAAATAGAGGACCTCCAGCTTCTGGTTAACATCAGTCACAGCAGCGCTTATTTTAAATGTAGATTCCCAAAATACACACAAAAAGATTCTGATCCAGAAGACAGGGGTGGAAGTTTAGAAATGTGCACTTGAACTGGTGCTCCAGGCAACTGTGACACAGGCACCCCTTACTCTACACTTGGAGGAGCACGACACTAAAAAAATAGGGTTCTTTTACGGCACGCCAAAGTTTTGACATCTGAACCCATCTATGAATGTTTAGTTCAAATCGGGTCTTCTCTTCCTTCCTTCACTTTATAAGAGGATTTTTCACTCCCCATCTTCCCTGCCTCACCACCCGCTCACTCTCCACCACTCCACCGACATCGTTCTCCCTAAGCACCAGCAGCTTACTCCAAATGCTAACATCCAGGGCTCTCTGACTGTGCCGGATGCTGCCTCTTCCTGAAACGCTTTCCTCCTTTCCATTCTGGCCATTCCCTCCTGGTTCTCCTGCCTCCTCAGCTATTCCAGGACTCCTCCTTCAGCCCTCTATCTTTCTCATTCCACACCCTCTTTAAAAGCCTCAGTTTCAACTCTAGTAACTGCGAATTATCTCCAGACCCACATATCTGCCCACTGGCATCCCTACTGGATGTCCAAATACCTAGTCTCCGTCATCTTCCCCTCCCCAACACCAGCAGTTCCTCCTGTGTTCTCCCTCTCAGCAAACAACAGCTCCATCCACCTAGCCACTCTAACCAGAAATCTTGGTGCTGCTTGAATTTTCTCTTTTCTGAATCACTGCATCCAATGAGTGATCAAACTCAAGCTCCCTCAAAGCTGTCTCCTCCTCTCCACCTCTACTGCCTCTGCTTTGGGGTTGCAAAATCCATCCAAGGGTCTCCACTCCCTCCAACCCACCTTCCACACTGCTCTCAGTGAGTGTTCCAAAATGTAACCTAATCCTTTTCCGCCCATTTAACATCTCAATCGCTCAGAAAATAATGTCCAAAATGTTTAGAAAGTAGTATTTTTGAGTCCTTATTCTGTGTCAGACATTGTATTTATTCGATCATCAAATAATCCTACAATAAAGGTATTATTATGAGATGTATATTACACTGAGGCATATATTATTGTATCACATATTGAGAAATATATTATATTGAGGCTCAGAGAAATAGCTTGACCAATGGCACAAAATTAAATGACAGAGCCCAGATGTATACTCACGTTCCTCTTCCTGTGTCTTGCTACCACCCTTTACGACACGACCTCTGCTACCTTTTCAGCCTCCTCTCTTACCATAGCTCTACTTTTGATCCACCCTCTAGCACATCGAACTGCCAGCCGCTCCCCAGACCAGCTCATCTAGGAAGTTTACACGTAATCCCTGCTGCTCAGAAAGCAATTTCCCTCCATTTAGATTTGGGAAATCACTCCATCATGCTTAGCCCAGCTGGCTCTTGCTGCTTCCATGAACTTTTGTGCCCATTTCCACTGGCCTTTATATAACTGCACTGTAATTTTTTATATGTCTGTCTCTTCCACAAAACTGCCTGCTTCTTAAAGATGGGAATCTTAAATTCTTCATTTTGGTATTCACAGCCCTAGCACAGTGCTGGCATGTTGCATGCACTCAATGATTGCTAAATAATAGTAACTCACATACTTTTAAACATCCCTTTAAAGAAATAAATGCATTTTTCACTTTTCCAAGAAGTTAACCATATGAGGAATGGGTCACTATTTCAGTGACACAAGTGAATGATTAAGTTTCATAAATTCTATTACTACTACTGAACCTTGGGTCCTCTTTGCCACTAGACAGATCGTCTGGTAAGGCTGCGACAGAATGTCTGACTCCCCACACAGGCATGATTCAGCCTAACTCCCACACAAACCTACCTAGCTGAGCACACTTGCTCCTGACCAACATCTGCCAGATCGGAAGCACTGGGTGACAGCCTATTACATACTCAGGCTGGATTCCGAGGCATTTGCTTGAGATCAAGTGCACCCTGCTACGGCCAACTGTGAACACATCTTTGTTACCTGGCAATCTCCTGGTGGTAATCATAGTGCTCATCTTCCTCCAGCCACTCCACGGATCCTGTGGTCGGATTGGCTCGCCCACAGAAGACCTTCATGGTGCTAATCAGCTCCTGGGTTTTAGCAGAGAAAAGAAGCCTAAAGCAGCCTTGCCAGTTCACGTCTTGTGGACAGGTCAGATCATCAGAAATCTATTTGCATCATAATGCCCAAGAATGTAGAAGAAAAAAAAATGTTAAAAGGCAAGAAAACTAAAGGAAAAAATTTGACAAAAATGTCAAAGCCATTGAAAATAGTTGGTTAATCATTATTTGAATCTTTCCAGCAAGAGTTATTTGGTTTTCCAGTCTGCAGAGAAGATCAAAAACTATAAAACGTAAGTTCAAAATGCTATCTGGAAACTTCAGCAGTCCTCAGGGATTCCAATAGGGTCAAATGAGCCTCACACGTGCATTTGGGTGCAGCCTCAGATGAAGGCAGGTGAGAAGGGAAATAAAGCAGAGGAAAGGGATAGTAGGAAAGAACAAAGAGAGACTGGGGTGGTGGTAAAGGAGTGTCACCAATACTGCCTCAGGATACTAAACACTTAGTTTAAGGAAAAATACAAAGATAGAGCAATTCAAACAAACTAGGAAAACCAGCATCTAAACACGTAAGTCACAGCTATACCAAACACGGACAATCCCAGAAATACAAGGTTGAGCTCCCCCCACCCCAAAAAAAAGCAAATCACAGAATACATATAATATTACATTTATATAAAATTTACTATTGTACACAACAGAACATATTCTTCAGGAATCACACTAAAAAGCATAGCAAGGAATAAAGATAGTGGTTACCTTTAAGAGGGAAGGGAAAAAGATGAGATCAAGGAGGGCCACACAGGGGACTTCAAAAATAATATTGTTCTTTTTCTAACACTGAGTGGTGGGAATACAGGTGTTCATGACACTGTCATTCTTTATGCCTTGCTATTTTTTATGATTACTTCCTATCTACTCAATACTTATTTTTAAAAGCAATTTTTAAAAATCTTTCATCAAAAACAATTTTTGCTTCAAATAAATGTCACCAGATAAAATGTCTTGTATGAGCTTTCCCTGCAAAGAAATCTATTTCTGAGAGACAGAGGAACACCAAAGCTCAAAGTCTGAAGGCATTTCTTAGCAGGTGCAGGCTCTCCCAATGCCCTCCCTCTTACCATTTAGAAAACAGCAAGTGCTCCACTCTCCTTCATTTCTTGTTAAACACTGATCCATCTTCAGGAAACCTGCTTGTTTTTGTGGTGGAGGTCCCCTAAACATTCCTGAGGCATCTTATTGGCCAGAGTTACTTTCATTTGAAATTATCTAGACTAAACATTGAATTCTCATACAAGAAGATGGAAAACATTCTTTTCTGAAAAGACTCAGGCAGTCACTAGCCTGATTCAAAGATGTCAATTTGTCTTTTAGTAAAACACTACTTGTAAAATCTTAGCATATCTATCCTCTAATCTAGTGGCTCTCAAACATTCTGACAACCCCAGCAAGAAATGTACTTTACAGAGGGACACAATATATGCACACACAAATATAAAGTTTCAAAAAATAATATTTAGCCTTCCTATGGTCAAGGCCCTGATGTATTTCATCCTATTTCAATTTTATTTAATTGCTGATCATGATCCACTAAATTGGATGTCATAACTCACCAATGGGTTGCAACCTAGTATGAAAAGCATTGCTAGACTCAGCTCTGCACATCTCATATTTCTTTTAAAAAGACAGAGTATCTAGAACTACCAGAATCTGTAATGTGCTTTAGAAAATTTTGTCCAACAAATGCTGTAGAAAGAAATGACGACTTGCTGAATGTTCAGGGAAGGCTTAAAGGATGAGTAGATTTTAGGTGGGCGTGAGGAGTGGGCGTGAGGAGAGGGCACTACACCAGATTAGACAGGTTTAGACAGTCATGCACAGTGAATAAATCAGTTCAGCTGACATGAAACTGAAGGAGTCAAACATGCTGGTAGGGTCCACACTCTGGAGGATCCAGAAACCCTTACCCTGTGGTCCATGTGGAATCAATTCTAAAGTCGTTTAAAGCTTAAGAGTGTAGTAAAGAACTTTAATTTGGGGGATTCCCTTTTTGTTTGCATTGTTGCTAAGGTTATAACTGTAGAGAAGTCATTGGTTTCACATAAATCTAAATGAATGCTTGAGGATGGGAACCATGTCCTGTAACCTCTTTGGGTGAGCACTACATGTTCTACAGATAAATCCCTTCATCTATTATTATGATCTGTCCTCTCCCTAAGGAGCCCACACTCCAGATTCAAGAGATATTATGACCCTCTCATTCTCCAAGAGATGTGAACTTGAACCATGCCAAGCTCCAACTGGTCAGATTACAAAGCTGATGTTTGGTTCATTCATTCAAAACTTACTAAGTATCTTCTATATGCCAAGGCACTGTGTTAGGGACTGGAGGACAACCATAAACAAGACAGAGTAGGTCCCTGGCCTCCTAAATATTAGTCTCTAATGGGGGAGAAACCAAATATAAAAAATTACAGACTATAATGCAAGAAAGGAAATACACAAGATGCCTATGAGAGTAACAAGGTTATGGAAAGGCTCGCTGAGGAAGGCGGCATTTGAGACCTGCAAGATAACCCAGGTTAAAAGTTGAGGAAGAGTAGTACTTATATTTCAGGAATCCTTACCCCAACTATTCCAAGAAAAACCCTTAATGTGGAAAGAACTTGGTGCATAAGCAAAAACTGACAAAAACTTGAGTGACTGAAAAGAGTGTGAGCAGAAGAAATGATACGAGATTAAGTGTGAGCTTTGGAAAGGTGTTTGGATTTTATATTAAACACACTGGGAGCTCCTGAAGGGTTTTAAGCAGGAGACTGTCCATGTCAGGTGTTCACTTTTACAGGGCAGTTTCTGGCTAGTGTGTGGTGAATAAACTGGCTTCTAACTACGAACTTCAGACCACAGCGATTGAGAAAAGCGAGCCCATCAGCAGTTCTCTGAATCAGAGAACCGTGGCCCTGTTAGGGGTGCGATGTTTGGAGCTCCTTATGATTGCGGTGCAGGTCTCTGTAGCTGAGGGGAGACTCTGGGTACGTCCTATGATCCAGGTCACCGCGGAGGTGGCTCCACTACGGACCCAGCAAGCGTCAATCAGCCGAGAGGAGGGCAGAGCCGCGGCCTGCCTGCAACCCCGGTCTCCCGCCAGCCCAAGCGCTCCGAGCCGTCCCATGCTGATTCTACAAAGGTGGTCGAGAGTCCTGAAAAGATGCGTATCCCACGTTCGGAGTACGCCCACACCAGGGCTCCGGCTGGCTGCACCCGGGACTCTAAACGCGACTACACCTTCCCAACCCGCCCAGCGCCTCACCGGCAGCGGGAATCGCTCCGTTCACTTCCGCCGCCACTACCACGCTACCGCGGCCAGGGTGAGCGAAGGCCTTCGCGCACCGGCTGAGCGTGCCAGGGGCAGGGCCGGAAGCGGAACTTAAAGGCTCTCCCGTCCGCCCCAGCATCCCCCACAAGGCTCCGCGACAGCCGCTATGGAGGCTGGCAGGGCAGCTGTTCTCCGCGTGAAGCGGAAGCGCAGCGCGGAGCCCGCAGAAGCTCTTGTCCTCGCATGTAAACGTCTCCGGAGCGACCCAGTCCAGTTGGCGGCCCAAAATACGCTCCCCGAGGGTCTGGAGAGGGCAGCAGAGAATAATGTCTTCCAGTTGGTGGCCACCGTGCGCTCCCAGGTATTGGGCAGGGATGGAGCCGGTGTGGAGGGGATCTTAGAGACAACCGGGGTGAAATTGTATCCCTGATCCCACACGAACCCCTGCCTACGCTGGCTCCCCTCCCCTACCGCCCTCCAGGAGGAGCCTGTCCAGCCGCTTGTGCGGGCCGCCTTACGCCCACCACAGGGCAGCCAGCAGCGTATCCGGCGCAACCTCCGCACGTCGGTTCGGGAGATCCGGCAGGAGGGCCGCTACAGGGTCGTCTCTAGCCGCCGATCCTCAGGGATTCCTTCGGGTGGCCTAGAGTCTGAGGACACGCCCGGAAACCCAGAAGCCGCCGACGACGTAGGCTTCCAGCTATTCGACCTGGTCCATGAAGAAGATCCAGAGGCCGCTGCCGCAGGTTCCTGCGACGTAAGTACACGCCGGGAGGAAAGCTGGGCTATGGACGGATAGCGCCAGGAGTCTGGGCGCTAAGTAAACACACAGTTAAGATGCCCAGGGCTTCTTCACTTTTTATTGGTGGATGATCCATCCGGTTTGATAACCTAATTTTTACAGATTAGTTTATCCATTCAGCGAGTATTTACCGAGTGCCCAGTAGTGCCAGGCATTGGTTTTAGGTTCTGTGGATATAGCACTGAGGACCTAGCATTCAGGTAGAGGAGGAAAACAGTAATAAATTCTGTGTCAGATGGTGATATGGGCTATAAGGGGGAGGGAGGAAACAGCAGGGAAAG